AGGAAACTACACAACTAATTTGTTAACTTTTTGTATTTAAAAAAAAATTATAAATAATTGAAGATTCTTAGGTTTGCATGGAGGGATATGTTCAGAAATTGTTCTCCTTTTATTTAAAACAAAAAACACTCGAATCGATTAAATTTTAGTCTGTAGACATTTTTTGAGAAGTAAATTGTAAAAAAATTCCATTGTGAGGCGTTTCGTAGAACACGAGCACCTTGCACGTGATTTTTGAAAATTTTGTACAACTCATTAAACGCGTCGGCCCACTCCAAAACTTTTTGGAAAATCTTCTGTATATTATAAGGTATAAATAAATTTTAAAAAAATAAAAAAGAAAAGGGTCCAAAGTTAAAAAAAATTAATTTGTTTATAAAAAAAAAATTTTTTTTTAATAAAAAATTTAAAAAAAAATTTTTTTTTACATTTCTTAAAAGTTGAAAGAAAACTAAAACTTTCATTCCTTGACAAGTTTTTTCTATACTTAATATTTTCAGACTTATAAGCTACTGAAAATATGTCTACAGTTACAAATCCAAAATTTCGAAAATTCATAACTCGATAATTTGGGCGATTAAACAAAAATAAAAAAACACGTATTTCTTTTTTTTCCATATAGATTGAGAAAAAAATATGTTTAACCGAATTTTCAAGGTCATAGGTAAATCTTGCGTGGAATTGCCCATATATATATATATATATATATATATATATTATTTAGTATATAATATTATTTATCATCAATATAATATTTAATTATTTATACTAAACAACGTTTTATGCCAAACATTTTAAAGGAGGAGGGTCGATAAGGCCTGCTTTCGGCCCCTTTGAAATTTTTATTTAAATGCTTGAAATATATTTTCCGTCAAAGAAAAATGATAATTTTGATGATTGAGGATTAAATAAAAACTCGTTACTCGGGGATTTTTGGGGACGCTGAATGCGAATCTGGTGTTAGTTCTCCAAAATTCAAAATGGCGGATCCAATATGGTGGACAACTTTTTTAAAATATGAATTAATTGACTTGAAAATCGTTATTCGGGAGTTTTTGGGGTCGTTGATTACGAATCTGGTGTTAATTTTGAAAAACTAACATCAGATTCGTAATCAATGTCCCCAAAAACCCCCGAGTAACGATTTTCATTCCAATTAATTCATTTTTCAAAAAAGTCGTACACCATTTTGAATTTTGAAAAACTAACACTAGATTCGTAATCAGCGACCCCAGAAACCCCCGAGTAACGAGTTTCAAGTCAATTAATTCATAATTGAAAATTTTTTCACCCTTAACTTTGACCCTTTTTTTAGACAAAACTTTATTATTTAGGGGTTAATATGCTCCAAACACCCTCATTTAACCTTCAATCATCAATATTATCATTTTTCTTTGGCGAAAAATGTATTTCAAGCATTTAAATAAAAAGTTCAAAGGGGCCGAAAACAAGCCTTATCGACCCTCCTTTTAGCAATTTTTTATAAGTGTCTCACAACTGGTCACATTTTTTTTGTTGACAAAAACGATGTGCTTGGAAAATTGATCCTAAAATTTTTTGAGTTCATCTAAACACTACACTTTCTTTGAATAAAAGTTGCGTATTTAAGTTACTTTTCGAACGGTGTATTTTATTTACAACTTCGTTTACCCATTTACAATTTATAGGGCAAAAATAAAACCCGTCTCACAACTGGACACACTCCCCTAAATAAATGCTAAGTAATCAATGTGTACTCTGTGTATAATATGTCCTAATGTTTATTAATATATTTATTTATAAAAGGGTTGTCAAATAATTAGTAAATGGTGGATCAACCTTGACTGCACAAAGGGGACAACCTTGACAAAATATCTAAATACGTTTCTAAATTCGATTTTTTACTTCGTGTTTCTTTCAATCATTAACCCCCCCCCCTCCAATATATTCATTATACTTAACTAGACAATTACATGTTTTATTATTTTCTTATATTATTTTCTTCACGTGATGTAAAAAACTTTTTTTGATCCTATTAATGCACTTAGCTCACAAGAAATACTATAATTCATTCTGCAAAAATGTAAAATTTAATTAAATTATTTATTTACCTAAATATAAAAACGGTTCAACAAACAAATGGGACATTTTGATTCAAACCAATATAATATCACTATTTTGAAAGGAAAAGGAAATGTTTTTAAATTACAAGATATGTAAAGTGAACCACAGCAGCCTACAATAATTAAAGGCTTGGATGCAATAAGGTGAAGTATACTTACCGCAAGTTTTTTCTGCTTAATAAATTCGTCGTGAAAACAAAAAAACGAAGATTTTCAATTTTCTACTTTTTCGTAATGAAAACACGTTTACTGTCACTAATAACATAGTACTGCAGACACGCATATCAAACTTTGATATCAGCTAGATGCCCACTAGCGTAACCTTCAGGAATTTATTCAGATTTTCCATGGAACATGAATTTGTCTGGCGGTCATTTCAAATTTTTCGTGTTGTCACGAATTTCCCCGGTCTCCCCTACTCTATAAATAATTAAAAGGCAAACCTTTTTTTTTAAGTAAAAATTAATATCTCAAACAGCTTACACTAGAACTCTATTTAGTAACAAACTTTGACCTGGTCATCGAATCAAGAATGATGTCACAGTGTTGGAATCGTGTTTTCAGTGTTGCAGGCTGACTTCACGCTCATTGTTAGCTTCAAATAAAACGAGAGACTTCTCTTCTAGGTTATTAAGACACTAAAAATCGAGAATGATTAAATTTGAGTATGAGTGGGTTTTCTATGGTTTTAAGGTTCAATGATTTTTAATTTGGAGGCGCATGATTATTCCCCAAATGTCATTTGACCGAACTGTCATTTTACCGAATTGCATTTATCCGAACTGTTATTTTAACTAAATGTCACTTTTGCGAATCGACATTTCTACGAATTGACACTTTTGCAAAAATTCATTTTTGAGAAATATCATTTTTACGAATTGCCACTTTTGCGAAAATTCATTTTTGCGAATTGTCATTTTTACGAAATGTCATTTTTACGAATTGTTACTTTTGCGAATTGTCACTTTTGCGAATTGTCATTTTTACGAAATATAAAAATGCCAATTCAAAAGAATGTCAGTTCGCATAAATGACTATCCGCAAAAGTGACAATTCGTAAAAATGTCGATTCACAAAAGTGACATTTCGTAAAAATGACAATACGAAAAAATAACATTTCGGAACAATAACGATTCGTAAAAATGACAATTCGTAAAAATGATATTTCGTAAAAATGATATTTTGCAAAAATGACTTTTCGCAAAAGTGTCAATCGTAAAAATGTCGATTCGCATAAGTGTCATTTCGTTAAAATAACAGTTCGGATAAATGCAATTCGGTAAAATGACAGTTCGGTCAAATGACATTTGGGGAATATGTAATCATGCGCCTCTGCTCTGTTTAGAACTTGTTACTTGGAGTTGTTAAGGTTGCTAAATTGATCATTATATATTAAATAAATATTTACTTCCTTTAAGGTAGTAGTTTTTAAAACTAAACATTTTGATCCCCAATTTTAATCACATTTTTGTGCGTTTGATTGACTTAAAAGCGACAATTCGTGGTTATGACCTTTTATTGCATCCATGTTTAATTTAATTATTATTGTTGTTAGTCTATTGTGTCTTTGGTTCCTTTAAAGAAGGGAATGGAGAAATTTCAACCTATTGAAATTTACGTTGTTTAGTGTTGTTATTTTATTTTTTAACATTATATGTGCTATAGCATATACACTACCAGCGGTAATTGTGCGATCACTACTTTTTTTATGACTATTAAATAACTTTAAACTGGAAAAAGTGGTATCTAAAATTGAGCGTCCGGATGTAGCAACTGACCCTACGCGCTGTTGAAAAAGACTATACCAGTCAGTGAGCAGTGAGCGCCTCTAGGCCTCTCACTGCTACTTGATTTGTTTGATTAGTATTATCCCTTCCGACAGCGCGTAAAAAAGCAACAAAAGTATGTAATAGTTGGAGTTTTTTGTTGTGGCCTTTGATCAAGAAATTAAGAATTTTTTATTATATTTATTATGTCAGAAATTTAATTTTGTCTCCAAAATACTTTCACTATGCATTTCACCATGAACATGGATCTTCAGTTCTACAATAGTAATACAACTGTTATGACACATTCAAAATACACGTGTGATTCTTTTTATAGGTTTAAGTAAAAAAATATAATAAAACGATCAGGAATGGAGTTCCCTATCTGAAATAATTTTACATTGCATTTGCATGTATGTAATATTAACGCCAAAACTATGTTTATTTTTTAATCAGATATTTAACAAAAACCCAATATTACAAAAATTTATCTCCATATTTATTTATTTATTTATACACTCGTCTTTTACCTTAATATTAGCGATACAAGTGTCCCCGTAGTTATTTACTAAATTTTTGCGTCTACACTGAAAAAATTTTGGAGAGCCTGCAGGCTTTACAAGGCTAATTTCGGCCATGAAATATACCATCTTCTTCTTATATGACTTTTTGTAAATACAAGACATTACTTCTTCGTAATGTTTTACCATAAATAATTCATTGACAAGTGTTAAAGACTAAATAAACACACGATTAATTAATGGGAAAGTAATATTTATTATAATGAAATGGATATACAAGATGTGCACATTGTACTCTGAATCCCCTGTAAGGCCTGTTTTTGAAAAAATTGTCCCTTCGAGGCCTTTGTATTTGATTACAATATCAATCTTAAAAAGCCCACAAATATCAAATTCCATATAAAGCAAAGAAATTAATTTCTTTCGAAATATTTAAGTAATATAAAATTGCTTGAATTAAGAAAAACGTAAAGAATTAAAAAACGTTTTAAATTTGTGCACCATATATTGTTTAAATGTTCCCAATATTAAGTAAAACACTATTAATTATATTTTTATTATGAATTTGTTGTTAAAATTTCTTTTTAAGTGACTAATAATACATTTTACAGGATCATCTAATATAGGTAATTCTCCTTTTGGTTTGGGCAACTTAGGAGGTCTTGTTGGCTTAGAGAGTTTAGGAATGGGATCTAGCAATTTTATTGAATTACAGCAGCGAATGCAACGCGAATTACTGTCAAATCCAGAAACAATGCGACAAGTACTTGACAATCCATTGGTGCAAAGATTAATGAATGACCCAGAAAATATGCGAGCCTTAGTAACTGCAAATCCACAAATGCAAGAACTTATGCAACGAAATCCAGAAATAAGTCATATGTTAAATAACCCAGAACTTTTACGGTAAATATTTCATTTTATTTGAAAATTCTTAGCAATATTCATTTATTCACGGGAGACCACAACTCTTTAGAGTGCACAATTCAATTTCTTTTTCAAACACCCATTGGAAATTTCAATTTAGATTCTAGTTAATATCAAATGTGTATAAAAAGGTCAAAGCACCAAGTGAGGTGCATTGTGCATTTATAAAATTAGGAAGAGTGATTTTTGTACTTTTTTGTGTTGATTACTACTCTAACTTTACTAAAAGCACTCTAGCATGTCATTGTTAATCAAATGAAGACTGAATTCTGGTAATATAAATAATCCTATACACCCTTTTCTTAATTATATTAAAAGTAAAATTAAATGTAATCATCACTAAACTATTCAAAATATGATAAATAATTTTATTAGTTTTAGACAATTTTTTATTTGAAGCAATAAAAAAAGGTAGAAGATAGAAGAACAGGGTTGCCACAGACCAGGAAAACCTGGAACCTTTTTGATTTTAAATTTAGTGCTTACATTTAAAATCAATATGGCATTTCTAAATTTTAGTTTCATCTGGTCAATATTTTCTTTTGCATAATTTTAAATGTATTTTAGAAACCCAAAAATGTTGTTAAAATGTTTAAAATACTTGTTTAATTGTGGAAAATTATGAACAAAATTCAATTTTTAATTTCCTATCATTTTTCTTTATATTTTTTCGTCTATCTACTTTAAAATAAGTGTGATGCGCTCCGCAGGAAGGTACCTTAGAAGCAAAAAAATTGTAGGTTATGTTTGTAATTTTTTGAATGAAATTACACAAAGGGGATTAACTCCCAATATAAAAAACTAATATTAAAATCTTTATTACAACTAAAATAATTAATCAAAATTAAATTTGGTTTTACAAAATTAAACAAAAACTTTTAATTGAGTTAAAAATAACACAAATATAACCTTAAAACGATTTGTTTCTAAGGTATAGGAATTTTATGCTGAACCGGGAATTTTTTCATCATATTAAAAAAAGATTTATTATTTTAATTTGTTTTTAAAAAATCGCTTTTTATTTCAATTTTTATAGATATTTATACTGTTCTCTAGAATTAGTTAAAAATCATTAATTTGATAGTAAAAAAACAGTCACTGATTCAAATATAGTATGTCAACAAATTAAAAAAAAATTATCGAATAAATAGAAATTTTGTGAAATTCAACTGAAAATAATTAAATTTGTTAATGAATTTCATTAAAAACTTTTTAAGAAATCGAATTTTCAAAGCATTTTAATTTAATAATAGAGAAATAATTGGATTTTATAAGGAGTCACATTCTAATGTATTCATGTTTCTTAGTGCGAAGATTAATAATTAAAATTTGTATTAATTAATTTAAAATAAGATACACACTTAAATTTTTTTAATAAACTTGAATTATCGCAAAGTTTTTTTTAGATAATTCTGAAAAATTAAATTTTTGAAATTTTTCAATTCTACTGTTTCAACATAATTGGATTTTTGCAAACAAATAATTGAAATTTCTTTACATTCTGTTAACATTTTTTTAAAAATTTTCTCAAAATTTCAATTATCTTTATAAATAATTAAATTGTTCTCAACAATTTAATTATTTTCAAAAATTTTAATAAAATTCTATGCAATCATTTCATTATTTTCATAAATAATAACATTCTTTGGAAGGATTTAGTTATTTTTATAAATACAGAGTTTAAATCTAATTTTACTTAAACTTTTCAAAATTAATTCAATTTTAAAAGAATTGCGTTTACAATTTTTATAAGTAGATGAACTTTAAAAGATTTTGATTTAAAATATTGTAAAATTTCAATTTTAAATTAATTTAATTAGAAATATAAAAAAACTTAGATTTTAAAAAAATGTTAAAACTAAAATTCTTCTGAAATTAGTTAAATCTTTTAATATATATATATTTAATTAATTATTAAAAATAATGGATTTATAGAAGAATTTTAGTTGAAAACACTAAAAAAAATTGAATTTTGAAGCAATTACAAATGATTGCAGAAATTCAATTATTTTCAAAAGTAGTAAAATTCTTCTCAGAAATTCAATTATTTTCAAAAATTTTTATAAAATTCTTGGCAAAATTTTAATTATTTTCAAAAACTTTCCTCAATTCAATGATTTTTAATATCTACTACTTTAATAAAAATTTCTAAAATAATTCAATTAGTTAAAAAAAATTTTAATAAAATTCTACGCAAACATTTAATTATTTTCTTAAATAATAAAAATTTCACAGGAATTTAATTATTTATAAATTATTTTCATAAATTAATAATAAAATTCTTTTTTGGAATTCAATTATTTTTATAAATATATAAATAAATTGTTAATAACATTCTTTATAAAAATTGAATTTTAAGAAACATTTAATTGTTTAATAAAATATTTATTTTTATAGTTAAATAATTGAATTCCCGTAGAGTTTTCTAATAAATATTGATTTAAAAATGAATTTCAAATTCAAATCTTTGAAAATTTGAACTTTTCACACTTTTAATTAAGAATTCTATAGAATTAATTTTTCTCAATAAGCTTAATGGAATTTTTTTTAATTTTTTGAAGTTTTTAATTTCTAATATATATATTTAATTGAAGAATGTCAGAATAATTGAAATTTCGTAAAATTAAATTGTAAACAAAAGAATTTGAAAATTCATAAAAAACTTTTTCAAAAATTTAAAAAAAAAATTTACTTATAGAAGAATTTTGCAGAAATTTAATTATTATCAATACATTTTAATAAAATTGAATTGATCAAATTTTCAAATATAATTATAAACAGACAAGATTATTTAAAAAAATTGAAAAAATTCTTTGTTTAATTTAATTATTTTCCAAATTTTTAATTAAAATTATTAAAAAATCATTATTTTTACAAAATTTAAAGAAACTCGTCAAAAGAATTTAATTATTTATAAAAAAAACTCTATTAAGAATTTTTGAAGCCATTTGTAGATTTATGTATGTTCGAAATCAAATAAATTTAAATTTGATGAGAAAGAAAACCGGGAAAAATTAGAAAAAAGCCGGGAATTTTGTTGAACGAAAATAGTAGACACCCTGTGGAAAAGTCATAGAATTTTAAAATTCATGGTTTTTGGCAACCCTGAAGAACAATTAAAAGACAGTAAAGGATATTTAAGAATTATACAATTGTATAAAGTATATTATTTAAATGAAATTAGTTTTTTGTAATGCAATAAAATAAATTTGTTTGACAGTCAAACTATGGAGCTGGCTAGAAATCCGTCCATGCTTCAAGAGTTAATGCGTTCACACGACAGGGCACTTTCCAACTTGGAGAGCATTCCCGGTGGTTACAGCGCTCTCCGCCGCATGTACCGTGACATCCAGGAACCAATGTTGGCGGCAGCAGCAAACAACAGCAATCCGTTTGCAGCTTTAGTCGAAAACAGTAATGCAGATAATCAGCCAAATCCTCAACAAGGACAAGAGAATAGAGATCCATTGCCTAATCCATGGGGCTCCGATGGCAGTGAAGGCAATCCTACACCACCAACAACAACGCCCGCTGCAGAAGGTCAAGCAAGAGGTCTTTTTGATTCGCCAGGAATACAAAGTCTCACATCACAAATAATGGAGAATCCAACGCTCATGAGAAATTTGCTTAATGCACCGTACACACGTTCAATGCTGGAAGCGTTGGCTGCCGATCCGGCAATGGCAAACAGAGTTATTTCTTCGAATCCGTTTTTCAGATTAAACACTCAAATGCAGGAACAAATGAGAACAATGATGCCAGCTTTAATACAACAAATGCAAAATCCACAAATTCAAAATGTCGTTACTAATCCTGACGCTCTCGCAGCAATAATGCAAATTCAACAAGGCATGGAGCAGTTGAGAACTGTCGCTCCTGAACTCGTTAATAAGTAAGTGCTTTTAAATTATTTATTTATTTATTTATACTATTTATTATCAATAATATTTGCTGTAAATTCTATTTTTAAATATTTAACCACATTAAAATTTAAAAAAATGTAAATGTAAAAAAAAATTAAAATGTAAATTTTTTGTTAAATGTTGAACAAATTTTTGTTACACAATTTGTTCGATATTCCTGCGATCTTTGTACGATATTCCTACGATCTTTGTACGAAAAAATGGTTCTCAATTTTACAAAAATTCGTTTCGAAATTTTGTGCGAAAAAAATCTTTGAAATATCTACATAAAAAGTCCTGGATAAATTGCACGAATATCGTCCAAAATTTGTACAGAAAATTAGTTCTCAATTTTACAAAAAAATAGGGTGGCCGCTGAACCGGGAAAATCGGGAAATGACAGTGAATCTTGATCTTGACCGGGATTTTGGAAATTTTTTTTTTAAACACTGATTTAAAAATTTCTTTTTTGCAATAATATTATAACAAAACAAATTTGAATTATTAAAAATTTGAACTAATTAGAACAAAAATGATACGAAATTTATAAAAATTAAATTTTAAATAATAAATAAAGTAAATAAAAAATAAATAAAATTTCTTTTCTTAGAAAATAAATTTTTAAAAACCGTTTTTTACATTAATATCAATTCGTTTTTTTACAATTATTTATATGCAACTTTTTCTATATTTTAGAATGTTAAATTACTAATATTGATATAGATTGAATTTCAAATTGAATTTTTAGAAAAGTTGAACTGTAAAAGATTTTATACAACTCAGACGTATTATGGTCACTTTATCTACCTGTACAGGCGCGTACTAAGTTCCCCTTTATAACCCAGCAGTCAATAAAGTAACCATTATAGCCCTAGGGAGATAAAGGGTACTTCGCTCGTGCTACGACTCGTTTTTCAATATTGTGCTCGGTATATAAACTCGGACTTACCTCCCTTGTTGCATAATGTACTATTAATTAAAAATTCTGAATAAGTTAGTTTTTTGAAACATTTTTATTCAAATTTTTTTTCAAATTATTCAAAATTTCATGAAATTGTCTTATAAACAAGTGAATTTTTTAGAAATATTTTTTGTTAAAATTTCTAGAAAATAATTAAATTGAAATTTTGAAAATAATTTTTAATAAGTAGTAGCAATTCTTAAAAATTATTCAATTTTAAAGAATTTGAAATTTGAATGTTTTTTTTTAAACCTTAATACCTATGGAAAAATAATGGATAATAATTAAATATTTATGTCAAAAAATCTATTTAAGTTCCAAATGATTTTACAATTAAAGATATTCAAAAAAATGTATTATAAACATATTTTGGAGTTTTAATTATTTTTAGAGTAAACTAAAATATTTTTAGGGTTTGGGAAAAAGTCAAAGTTTTGTCTAAAAATCAGGGAATTCTTTCAATCTTTCATGAAATAATTTATTTTCAGATTTATTTTTTATAACCGGGAAAAATAATTTATAACCGGGAAGTGACCGTGAATTTTTTTTTATGAGAAAAGTGGTCACCCTGAAAAATTACAATAAATATTACGTGCCGAATTCCAATCGAATTTCAGATTAAAAACGCCTCGGATATTATGACTTTTTCGACTTTCTTCCAAATTTTGCAATAAAATACCCCATTTTTAGTATAAAATGCAACCTAATTCGATTTTTATAGTGTGAAAAATAACTATGGACAAAAAAATTATTTTCAAAAATTGTTTTTGAATAATTTTTTTACGATAAAAAATTTTTTGAAGTATACGTTTAATTAAAAAATTTTAGAATACATAATTGAAATTTTATAAAATTTAATTGTAAACAGTTTATTTTTTTAAAGAATTTTATTATAATTTTTGAAAATAATTTTTAAAATAATTAAATTCTCAAAAATTTTAATGTAAAATCTTCAAGTGTAAATTTTAAAATGAAAATTAATGAAAATGTGTTTCTAAAAATTATAAATTAATATATTTTAGAAAAAAGAAATTCTTCGAATTTTTCCATTCTAATTTTTAAAAATTTTAAATATTTTGCAATATTTTCACTTACATATTTCAAACAATTCAAATGCACACAAAAAATAATAACATTAAAATCTTTTAGAATTATTTTTAACATTTTGGAGAACATAATTATGTTCAAAATTTTTAATTAAAGTTCTTTAAAAAAATTTAGTAGTTTCTATAACTTACAGAAATTTTTTTAAGAAATTCAATTATTTTCAAAAAATTACAGTACAATATTTTTAAAAATTTAATAATTTTTTAATAATCAATTATCTTCGAACAAAGTAAATTAAAATTCTTAAAAAATTAAATTTTTTATACTTAATAAAATTTTGGAAAAAACGTGTTCATATTATTTTATAATTAAAAGTTTTTTAAATTTTATTATTTTCTTTATATTTTTCAAAAATTATTTTTTATCCCACATGCACAAAAATGGCGCTTTTAGATAGCTGACGACAGGGAGTCACTCATTTGTTCGACCATATGAAAATGGCGTCCATTTTCTCCCATGTGCAAACATAACCGCTGATCCCATGCGTTATTTTTGCCCAAGGGAGAAAACGGCCGCCATTTTCATATAAGTCGAACATTACAAGTGAATGACTTTTACTCCCTGTCGTCTGCTATCTGAAATAGCCGCTTTTGTGCATTAAGAATAAAAAATATCGTAAGTAACACGGGAATAAAGGCAGCCAATTTGTTTACGATGATTTTTGTGACACGAGTGGAGGTCGCCCTCGACCTCCACTCGTGTCACAAAAATCACCGTAAGCAAATGGCTGCCTTTATACCCTTGTTGCTTAATATACTATTATTTTTAAAAGTATTTATCAAATTTCCATTATTTTTAATAAATTTAATCAAATTTCAATTATTATTATTAGATTTTATCAAATTTCAATTATTTGGAAAATTCTTAATATTAAATTTTTGTATTTAAATAATTGAATTTTGGAAGGAGTATAGTTGTAATTTTTAGAAAGTATTCAGAAGGTTTTAAATTGAAATTTTTAGAATTTTATTTCCTGTAGAAAATCAAATAAGAAGTATTTAAATATTTATTTAACAAAATTATTCAAGACTGTGTCGACTTTTTTTGGGCCTTAAAGTCGATCCGAAGCCAGTTTTTTTTATAAAATTTTGCTATGTTTTCATCAAAAACAAATCTGGTTTTAATAATCTGCACTTAATATACATACTATACTATTTGAAATAAAAGATAATAAAATATTGTAATAGCTAATTATTATCATTATGTATTTATTTATTTGAATATTTTTGCATATGTAAATGGTAATGAAAATTAATTCCAGTCTATTATTTTGAGTTAACTTTTATTTCAGTATGGGTTTAACACCTCCACCAACCACTGCAGCAACGACTGAACCTACGAGGACAACTTCACCAAGTCCAACCACAGCTCCAACAACAGACCCAAACCAACAATTCTTTTCTCAATTTATGGCTCGAATGGTTTGTTTCTTTAGAAAAATTTTATTTATATTTATTTATTGCATTATCAGTTATAAAAAAATAATTTGACCCAGAGTAGTCTACAGTCGGAAAGAAAGTTTAGATAAAAGTGCATATTTCTTAAGTTTAAACAAAAATCAATTTAATAAGATGTTTTGAAATTAAAAAAAAAAGTAGACTTAAATTAATATTTTTTTTTATTATTTATTAGCTAATTTTTAAATTGAATGATTAATACGTATATTTATTTGTTTTATTGCAAGTTCCACGATATAATTCGAATCTGTTTTTTTGACTAAAATTTGAATTTAAAACATTGGTGAAAATTGTTTAAATTTTAGGTATCGGCAATGGCACTGAACCAAGGAGGAGAAGTTGATGGTCAGGTGGCTCCACCAGAGGAACGCTACAGAGCACAACTGGAACAGCTCACAGCCATGGGTTTTGTAAACAGAGACGCCAATTTACAAGGTAAATCTTATTCTTTCTTTTTTTAAGATTATTCTACATTAGGGACAGACATTGTGTGACAATTAGAACTTTAAGAAAAAAATAAATTTAAATTGCATACGGGAAAGCTGCTTACAAGCTTGTTATATACCTATTAAATTTATTAATAATAAACTTGTATGCAGTGTTAATTTATTTCTCTTTAATAAAATTTGTAAAATTGACAGAGTTGCCACAGGTCAGGGAATTCAGGAAAAAGTTAGGGATTTTTATTAAAAGTACTGAAAAAAAATTGAATTTTTAAAATTAATAATAAAACTCTTAATTTTCGTATTTTTTTTTGTTTTCCTTATAAACTATGAAATTACCACGAATTCTAATACAAAACCATCAATTTTTTCTATTTCTGGCAATAATTTCTTCTTAAATAACTTAATTTTTGAAGAACTATAAAAAAATTATTGCTTAGAAATTATTTAATGAATAATTTTACTTCAAAATTTTTAAAATAATTGAATTTTAAAAAAGTTGCGTTTACAATTTTCATAAATAGACTTCAAAAGGGGTTTAATTTGAAATTTTAAAAATCTTCAATTTTCAATGAATTTAATTAAAATTTTTAAAGAACTTAGATTTTTGGAAAATTTTAAGGATTAAAAATTTTTTAGAAATTTCTTCGCAATAATTTTATTATTTTTATAAATAATAAAACTGTTTTCAGTAATTTAATTATTTTCATAAATAATGAAACTCATCGCAGGATTTTAATTTTTTTTAATACAATTTTTATGGAATTTCTCGCAAAATGTAATTATTTTTAAAAATTTTATTAAAATTCGTCAAGAAAATTTAATCATTTAAAAATTTGTTAACAAAATTCTTTATGAGAGAATTAAATTTTAAGAAACATTCAATTAGTCAATAAATTATTTATTTTTGTATTTAAGTAATTGAATTCTAGTAAAATTTTGAATAAAAATTGATTTAAAAATGAATTTTAGGTAATAATTAATAATAATGAAAGCATTGTAGCATACATTTTTAGAAATCACTGGATTTTAAAATGGTTTCAAATTAAAATCTTTAAAAATCTAAATTTTTCAAAATTGTAACTAACAATTCTGTAGAATTAATTTTTGTTGAATAAGTTTATTTGAGTTTTTTTGTTGAAATTATTGAAATTGTTATGAAAATAATTAAATTTTTGCAACTAATTTTATTAATTTTTTAAATTGAATTCTTTTGAAAAATTTTATTAAAATAGTAGGTAGATTTTGAAAATATTTTAATTTTAGCGAAGAACTTCATTATTTGTGAAATGTAAGTGAATTCTTGCAAAAAATTTTCCAAAACCTTTTGAAGGAATTTTTCAAGGAATTTATTTAAAATTTTATTAAAAATAATTAAAATCCTGTGAAAAATTGTAGTATTTATGAAAATAATTAAATTCTTACAAAGTTTTTCCAATACTTTTTTGAAAATAATTACATTTTTCGAGAAATTCATTTAAAATTGTATAAAAAAATAATTGAAATCCTTTGGAAAATTTTATTATTAATGAAAATAATTAAAATCTTTTGAAGAAATTTATTTAAATTTTTTTAAATAATTGAATTTATGTGAAAAATTTTATTACTTGTATTTTAATTGCTACGGAAAAATAATAATGATTAAATATTTATTTAAAAAAGAATAATCGCTGAATATTCCTTAAGGTGAGGGAAAAAGTAAAAATTTTATCTGGAAATCAGGGAAAAAGAAAATAAAATTTTTGTGGCAACCCTGATTGAGTTTGAAAAACATGTAAGGAATCGAATGATTTGAGGTGTTTTAGTATGTTCTGTTAATTTAAGGGAAGAAAAAAGAGGATTAGTGAATACAATAAATATGAAAACTAATTTTCAGCATTAATTGCAACATTCGGAGACGTTAATGCTGCTGTCGAAAGATTGCTGGCCAACGGACAAGTTTCCATGAGCTAACCACCAATGATTAACAACAATACCTATGTTATAATTAATGATTTACTCTCGGTATACTTCTTGCCTCAGGAGAGGTGTCAAATATTTGAGGTAATTTTAACTCGAAAAATTTTAATTCTTATTCTGGCTCTAGGTAAAAGTACATGCTACAGACTCGTTTACTGTGACCTTTCTTTTATAATTGATGCAGTACTTACCCGGTTAAGCTAGCTGAGTTGGTACAACGAGAAAACGAACATATGAGTATCTTGTTAATATTTCACCTATCTATATATTAATTGATGTATTATAAAGAATGTGTAATACTTGTACCAGCATTATATACTTGAGTGCACAATGATTGACTGTTTAGTTATGTTATTAATACATCACTTAGCTTATAGTTTAAACTGTATCTTCATAAAAATTATACAAATTGATTAAAACATTCGTCGGGTATTTTCAATCAGAACCCTTCCTTCCTAATTTCCTACAATTACTTCAACAAAATTATAATATCATGAGTCATTTCTAATGTGAAGTGTGTCAAAACTAAATCAGATTCACCACCAAACTATTCACAATCCTAATTGGTGAAATTTATCAATTAATCAGCATATGCAACACATTCGCATTCATATACTAAAACCTACTATTTACTAATTTTTTTTTTTATTTTTACCACTAAAAGCTACTTTTTTCCTTTTTTTAGAATTTCCACTATTTTAAACCCGCTAATAGTTGAAATAAAAAAAATTAATATTCATAAATTTAGGAATCACCATTTAGCCTTGTTTCATTAACACATCCAAATTCTGTTAGTACATCTAACTTTATTAATCTAAATTTATTTAATCTAATAAAAATTTAGTCGATTCAAATTTCCCTCGATCCAATTAATTAATTAATTAACTATGATAATTTGAATGCTTTTTCATTCATTCACTTTTTCTATCCCTCACACTCTGAAGTTGTCTTTTGTTTATACTTTTGTTTTTTGTTATCTTTAGATAGATTGTATATTATATTATTATGTTATAATTACTTTTATTTTATATAATTAATTCAAAATTGTAATGACAAATAGAAATCATCAGAATTTTTTTCACTTCTTTTCATTAGAAGACTAAAATTTTGTTAAATATTATGCTTCGTCAAATTGAAATTATGCAGATTTTTGTTCTTTACTTTTCTAAGCAAAATTAGAAAATTGTTAAACAACTGTGACTAAGAAATAGAAAATTTATTTATTTTGCATTATTTCTGTTTATGAAACACAATTTTTTTAACAAAATGATTATTTTGTTTTAGAAAAAGAAGAAAAACATTTGCACAATTTCTATTTTTAATCTTATTTTTGGAACAGGATTTTCCACAGGAATTAAGACATTCAAAAATTTCAAATTCCAAACCTTTTTTAAATTAAACAACTTATAAAAGTATTGTTATAAAACATGAAGATATCGATTGCTCCGAGTCGAAGACTCGGAGTGATCGGTTTCTTCATGTTTTCTAATAATTAAAGATAGCCCAGTGATATAAAATCATTATTTTATATTATAAGAATATTGTTACTGTAACTTCATCAAAATTATTTTCATCATTTTAATTCAATTATTATTTTCTAGAATTTTGAATTATTTTTTATGAAAATAATAATTGAATTCCTTACAAAAATTTTATTATTTATGATAATAATTAAATGTTTGCATACAATTTTATTAAAAACTTTTTTACGCAATTGAATTTTTTTTTGGAAATTTTATTAAAATAGTAGATATTGAAAATCATTGAAATTAGAAAAATTTCTGACAATAATTGAAATTAGGACAAGAATTTTTTTGACATTTATGAAAATAATTGAACTTTGGAGAAGAATTTTGTTATTTAAAAAGATAATTGGGATTTTTACGAGAATTTTTTTAAATTTTGAACATAATTGAATTTTATAAGAATGTTATTTTTTTAAAAATAATTGGATTTCTGCAATTATTTGTAATTTCTCCAAAATTGAATTTTTTAGTGTTTTCAACAAAAATTTAAATTAGAAAATTTTATAATTTTATTTAAAAAAGGCAGTAAGAAGTTAGTCGCGCGAATTGTTGCTAATTGTCTGTAATAATATTCGTATTCTTAAACATTTTTTCTGTCCCTTACAATCTGAAGTTAGTCTTTTGTGTAATTTTTGTTTTTCGTTAAGTATCACGTAAAAAAAACTAACAAAATTTTTTAATTTTAAATATAAATTTTTAAATACATTCATAATCAAAATGTAAGAAATTTACTTCTTAAAGTACAAAATTAATTATTATTGTTAATATTTTCAAAAATTTTAATAAAATTCTTCGCAAGAATTCAATCATTTTTATATTTAAATAATAACATTCTTCGAAAGATATCAATTATTTTTATAAATAGTACAATTTTTTGCAAAAATTCAATTATTTTTAACGAAATTTTAATAAAATTTCACAAAAGAATTAAATTAAAATTTTCTAAAATTCTAATAAATCCTTCTAAACAATTCAATTATTTTTATAAATAGTGAAATCTTTGGACAAATTCAATTATTAAATTCCTCGGAAGAATTCAGTTTTTAAAAAAAAATTTAATACATTTCAAATAAATTCAATTATTATTTTCTAAAATCTTAATAAATCCTTCGAAACAATTCAATTACTTTTATAAATAGTAAAATTCTTTCCAAGCAATCAATTATTTTCAAAACAATTTTAATTGAATTCCTCGGAAGAAATCAAATATTTGAAAATATTTTTAATTATTATTTACAATTATTTCCAAAAATTTTAATACATTTTCTTTGCAGAAATTAAATTATTTTTAATTCAATTTAAATAAAATAGCACAAAAGAGTTTTTTTTCCAAAATTGTACATAAAATTCACTTTTAACAAGAATTTTAATTTTTCCATAAATAATCAAATTATTCTCAAAATATTTTGAAAAATTCTTAATTAACATTAAATTACTTTCAATGCAATTTTTAAATATATTCGTCAAAAGAATTGAAAGGAATTCAATTATTTTCAAAAAATAATAAAATTCTTCTGATGAATTCAATTATTTTAAATATATTTTAATTTTAATAAAAAAATTCTTTACAGAAATTCAATTATTTTCAAAACAACTTTAATTGATTTTCTTGAAAGAATTTAATTATTTTCAAATATTTCAATTAAATTCTTCAAAACAATTTAATTATTTCTTAAAATTTTAATAAAATCTTCGAAACATTTCAATTATTTTTTAAATAGTAAAATTCTACACGAGAATTCAATTATTTTCATAAATAAAAAAATTCTTCGAAGGAATTCAATTATTCTCTTTAAATTTTTTGATAAGAATCTTTGCAAAAATTCAATGATTTTCAATACATTAATTTTAAAATTGTAAATATTTAAAAAGAAAATTTTTTTGAAAAAGTTAAGAAACAATCTATAGTGTTATAATCTACTTTTTTTATTTTATAATTTATACAAAATAATTATTTGCAATTAATTAAAAAAAATTTTTTTTTTTATTATTTCTTCACTTCAATTTAAGCGAGCAGAAAACTAATTATGCCCAATTGTACAACATACTAATTACAGTAACTATTTTAGTAAATTTAATTTATGTCAGTGAGAAACAAAACTCTGCAAATTTTTTTCCTTTTTCAAAAAAAATTAAAACTTTATAACGAAAATAGTAATGACAAATAGAAATCATTAGAATTTTTTCCTTACATTTCGTTTTAGAAAAGGAAGAAAAATATTTGCGTAAATCCGTACTGCTTTTTTGTATGTGAAAATAAGTATGGAAAAGAAGCTAAGAGGAGAGGAATGACATGAATATGAATAATTAAGGTGAAAAGATTCGACGAAAGGACATGCAATGAAATAAAATATGAATTAATTACTGCAGTCAAATGAATTTAATAATATTCCACTGCATTAATCCATCTAATAAAGTGTATTTTCATAAATATTTTGTACATAGAGCTTTCCAATTCATATAATATATCTCAACTAGGTTGTGAAATTTTTAAACAATTTTATAACAAACATACAATAAAGAATAAAATGTGAAAAATGATTACATAAAAAATAATCTTCGCAAAATGAGTAAAATAATTGCAGAAACTAGAAAAAGAATCGAAATACTCCAAAATAATTCATTTTTAGAGCGTGATATAACAGCTTCTGTAGTTTCTCGAAATTCAGGCTGTTCTTCTTGAAATTCCGTTTGATAGTCGACATTTCGTTGCCTTAATTCATTTTCTAAATCTGATGTGAAATTTTCCGGTGTCACCTCCTCAGCCTAAAGTCAAAATATTAAAGTTATTATTCATTATTATCAATGGGTTTATACCCTAAAATCTATGGAAACGGTCGATTTCATGTTATCTAAAAAATTACTTATCGATAACGAACCTATAAAACAGGGTTGCCACAAATATTTAATTTTATTTTTCCCTGACTTTTCCCTGATTTCCAGACAAAATTTTCACTTTTTCCCTGACCCTAAGGAATATTCAGCGATTCACTTTATAAATGATAAGATACTGAAAAGAAATGTTCTATTACTTTAACTGTAAAATTATATTCGAAAACATCAATAACTTCGTTTTAATCATTATTATTTTTCCGTAGGAATTAAAATTCTTCAAAACATTCAAATTCAAACCTTTTTGAAATTCAACAACTTATAAGAATATTATTACAAAACATGAAAAAGGCGATCACTCCGAGTCTTCGACTCGGAGTAATCGCCTTCTTCATGTTTTGTAATAATTTAAATTACCATAAAATTTTTCAAAAAAGAGTTAATTATTTACCAAAATCCTAATACAATCCTTCGTAAGAATTCAATCATTTTCATAAATAATAAATCGATTATTCGGTAATTCATTTTTAAATCAATTTTTATTAGAAAATTATAGAAGAATTTAATTATTTAAATTAAAAAATAAATAATTTACTTAATAATCGAATGTTTGTTAAAATTGAATTCTCATACAGAATTTTATCAACAAATTTTTAAATAATTGAATTCTTTTGACAAATTTTAATAAAATTTTAAGAATAATTACATTTTTGAGAAATTCGATTAAAAAATTTGTATCAAAAATAATTAAAATCCTGCGATGAGTTTTATTATTTATAAGAATAACTAAATTCTTGAAAAGAACTTTGTTAAATTTTTTTAAATAATTGCATTCTTTCGACGAATTTTATAAAAATCTTTTCAAATAACTGATATTTTTCGAAAAATTTTATGAAATTTTGTATATTAAATAATTGAATTTCTGTGAAAATTTTATTACTTATGAAAATAATTGATTTATTTCGAAGAAATTCATAAAAAATTTTATAAATAATTGAATTCCTGTGGAATTTTGCCAAGAATTTTATTAAAATTTTTAAAAATAATTGAATTTCAAAGATGAATTTTATTATTTATAAAGATAAATGAAATTTTGACGAAAATGTTTTAAAAATTTTTGAACATAATTGAAGTTCTCCGATGAATTTTTATAACTTTTGAAAATAATTGAATTGCTGGAATCATTTGTAACTTTTCCAAAAATTTAATTTTTTTAGTATTTTTAACTAAAATTCTTTTATCAATCTATAGTATTTATGAAAATTGTAAAAATTATTCATTAAATAATTTATCAGTCATAATTTTATGATAGTTCTTGAAAAATTAAGTTATTTAAAAAGTAATTATTGTCAGAAATAAAAAAAAAATTGAAGGTTTTGTACTAAAAAAATCCCTGACTTTTCCCTGATTTTCCTGACCAACTTTAGTTTCCCTGAATTCCCTGATCTGTGGCAACCCTGTAAAATTTCACATTTTTACCCCCTGTTATTTTCTGCGGGGGTTAATTGACCCAAAAACACAGTATTTTTTCGATTTTTTGAGAAAAACGTGTATAAAAAATTGAAAAACATAAAAAAAATAGTTTTTGAAGTTAAACTGCAAAACAATAGACAATAAACTGTTTATTGTCTAGAAAAACCCTTATGAAATAAGAATTCTCTTCTTGTAATATGTAACAATATTCAAAAGGGATTCTTACAATAACTATAATACATTTTTACAATAAGAGTTTAAAAAAGTGTGTTTTTTTTACACAATAATGACGTCACGTAAGTTTAAGGGAGCGTTCACAAATGATGTCACGCTTTTGAGGGTAGGGGGGGGGGTCATACTAAACGTGACACAATGTATTTTTCTCATGTGAAATTGCAAAAATTGCGTGACAGGGGGTAGGGGGGGGGGGTCGAAAATCTCCAAAAATTGCGTGACATCATTTGTGAACGCTCCCTAAGTGAACATAACCTTTAATGTAATGTAAAGAAGTAGTGCAAAATTGTCAAAACTGTTATGTAATTTTTTTTAGGTATTATACAATAATTGAGATTTTTATTTCTTAGTGGCGTTAGAATGGTCGTACTTTTTACCGATACTACATTTATAAAATATATACATACCTTCAATGCAATCGTACTCAACATCTGCTTTTCTTCTTCTGTAATTGGTCTTTTTCTTATGACTGTAGATAGTAAATTTAATATTTGTCCACAAGTTTCGCAATGCCATGTAAGTGATCTATTGAGTAAAGTATAAAACAATTAGTAATCCCTATAAGTAAAATCACACTTCTGTCTAGTCTGTACATTGCTTAAAAATTGAAAATTCTATTATAAAAAGTTGTTTTGAACTTGAAGAAATCCAAAGAGGTCAAAAAAATGTCGTGTATGTATGTACTTCTGTCACAAAAGCTTTGTACGCCAATCACACGAAAATGCCTGGACTGATTTGAATAAAATTTTACAGAGCATTTGGTAATCATCTAAGGAAGGTTTATAAATTTACAGCTATTTAAAAAATATTAATTAGAACAGGAGAAATCAACAATTTTTAAAAAATTCGAAAAATCAAAAAATCTTAAATCATTAACTTTTTAATTGAATACTGCTATACTTTTTGTAACCGTGAAATTAAATTCACCAAGACATATTATAATTTAATCGACTTAATCTTACAATAATGATGGAGTATTTGGAAATATATTTTTTAATTAAATTAACCTCAAAATAAAAATTGAGAAAAATTTAATAAACCCTCAACAGATTTCTTTTATTCTAGGCTAAAAATTTTGTAATTTTATCAGTGAACAAATATGAAATAAATATTGTATCTGTCAGGTGGTTATACTCATACGTGATAATTGTAGATCTTAAAAAACACATCTTTGTTGTTCTATGCATTTTTTTGAAAAACAAAAAATAATTTTTGAGAAAAATGCAAAAAACTGTAAAAGCACTATCAGAATTGTTTATATCTACCAGGAACTACGTAATAATATCTAGGTATATAAATAAATTATTTTATACAAAACAAGTATGTAATCCGGAATATGAGTGCGGTCCCTGCTGATAACTATCTCTTTAACAAATATTCCAGAAACGGTATTTATTGCTAACATTGCTTGTTCTGCAATCCCTCTGGTCTCGAGATGGGGACCATCTATATGGTCCCCCCTAATCCTAAGCTTGAACCGTACGGTGAAGGAATGCGTGGTTGAGGGATGTTAATCGTGAGCACGAATGCTGAGATTTTGTGGTTTAAATGTAAGAATTTTTCTTCCCTCACTTAAGGGTGGTGGTTAGTGGATGGTGTGTGTTGCAGGTTTGGCTTTTCATCTTCATCTTATTTCATTTCATGTTCATACTTTATTTTTTATTTTATTTTAAGCTGAATCTGTAATGCATTCTGTCTGCTGGCATTCAACACTGCCTGATAGGTAAGGGGTACGGACCAGATGTTATGTCAAAACTAAATAAAGCCTCGGAGAAAATTGTTGGGTGTAAGGAGTGTTACAAGAAGGTGTGCAGTTGCACTACGGAGGCAGATGTTGTTTGGGAGAGTGGGAGCGATTCTTCTTCTTGTAGAAGATCTCATTCCCGCTCTCCCATTCGGAAGAAGGATGAGACTCACGATGATGAGACTGCGGAGGAAAAAGAGCGTGAATCGAGTGATAAAGAGGGATCGAAGAAGTTGACGGGTGAAAGAAAAAAGGCGGAAGCGAAATTAAGGAAAGAGAAGAAGAAAATGGATAGAGTAAAAGAGCAGGAAAGATTGGAGAGGGAGAAATTGGAAAAGGAGGGGAATGGGAAGAAGCCAAAGAAGAAGAAGGATAATAAGAAGGAAGTGGTTGGAGGTAAAATGGACGTAGATGAGGTAAGTGTGCGTGGGGATGTGATTGATGTCCTGAGTTTAAGGATGGAAAGGCCCAAAACCGTGGATCCCTCGTGTCTTGATTTACGATGTGACGAATTATATGAGTGAGAATGAGTTGTTGAGTAGTGTGCATGAGAAGAGTGTGAAGGATTTAATAAGTTTGGCTAATTTTAATCAACGTGCTAAAATTGTGAGACGGTTTAGTAGAGATGGAGAGAAAGATGGAAAAATTGGACATCTTTCAAGGTGAAAGAGACATCTTTCATGGGAAAGGGTGCCTCAATGTTTTGGATGTATGGGTTATGGTCACAAAGTGCTAGATTGTAAGAATGAGAAGTTGAGTGTGCATGTTGCGGTATCCTGCAAAGCATCGGAGGACTGCAGCAACTGCCGGGCAAAGGGACTCCCTTCGAAAGGGCATATTGCTCTTTCGTTGGATTGCCCCAGGGAGTGGGGACTTCGGTCCTTAGTATGGGTATGGCGTGCCCAGGGTGCCCGAGCTGGGTACAAGTAAACCTGCTGCCCAAAGTAAAAACCTAGTAAGTCGCATTTGCCGTAAGGTTTATAGTCGCTTACCATGTAAACGACTTTCGTCTTAACGGCAAATGCGACTTACTAGGTTTTTACTTTGGGCAGCAGAAACGCTGCTTATATCCTAATACCGTAAACAACAGGTGTACTTCAACGACCTTTATGATGCGTGACAGAAGAACGTTGTACATTTGTTGACCGGGGACTTGGCTTAACTGCCTGGTCGCGAAATGGGGACATTTTATATGGTCCCCCTAATCCTAATCTTGAGCCGTGCGCGAGGGGATGCGTGATTGAGGGGTGTCAATCTTAAGCACGAATACTGAGTATTGACGAATTAAATTTTGAATTATTTTTTCCTTCACTTAAGAGTAGTGGTCAGTAGATGGTTTATGTTGCAGGTTTAGCTTTTCATCCTCATCTCATCTCATCTTTATTTATTTTATTTTAAGCTGAATCTGTGGTGCATTCTGTCTGCTGGCATTTCAACACTGTCTGATGGGTGAAGAGTACAAAACAGATGTATATGAAAAAATCAAATAAAGCCTCGGAAAAGAAAAATGTTGGGTGTAAGGAGTGTGTTTGCACTCATGAAGGATTGGTTTCGGAGAGTGCGAGTAGTTCTTGAGATAGATCTCATTCGCGCTCTCCTATTCGAAAGAATGTCGAGAAAGGTGGTGACGGGACAGCAGATGAGAGTGATTGTGCGGCGAACAATGGGAAAGATTGGAAGAAACTGTCGAAGGAAAAGAAAAAGTTTGAAGCGAAGAAGAAGATTGCAACTGGTGACACTAGGAAGGCGGTGGAGGGTAGAGCAAGTGATGTGATGAAACCTGTGTATGAATGGGGTTCTAAGGTTGGTGTAGATGTGAATGATAAGAAAACGGTATGCATGGTTTTAAAGGGTGGCTTAAAAATGATGAATAGACGTGTGCATGTAGAATTAAGTGAAGAAAATGTGAGAACATTGAAATTTGTTGAGAGTTTTGAATATCTAGGTGTTCTAACAAGCGTTGATATGAAGTTTAGAGAGCATGTTAATAGAATGAGGCAGAAGGTGAATGGTGTAGTTGGAATTTTACGTAGGGTATTAAGAATAGATTGGGGCTTGAAAAGGTGTGTTATGAGGACTGTCATGAATGCGATGCTGTTGCCTGCGGTAATGTACGCTGCGCCGGTTTTGTATAAATTATTGAAGCTTAAAACTGTCTGTGTAGAATTGAACAGATATCAGCGGGTTGGGTTGTATGCATGTACGCGAATGTGTAGTACGGTTTTCACGGATGCGATGCAGGTTATCTATAGAACGCTTCCGTGGGATTTGGAGTGTAAGAGAAGAGCGAATTGGTATAAAGTTAGGAAGAATTTTGAAATGAATGAGTTTGATTTGGTTAGTGCAAATGATGTTAATGGTTTAAATGTTATTGATGCGAAAAAGATGGTGACGGACAGAGCGCATGGGAAATGGCAGAAGAGATGGAATAATAGTGACAAAGGAAGAGTTACTTTTGAGTGGATTAAAGATGTGACTTTTGTTGGTAAGTGCAGAAAGTTTGATCCGAGTCTTAGGGAATGCTACTTGTGTGGGGAGAGTCCTTCCACCTCCCACCTCCTCAAGAAATTTATCGAAGAATCTGGAAGCAATCGTAAATGCTAATACTACTTCTGATTCTTCTGAGAAATTTCTTTCTGTTCTTTCTATATCGGCGAAATCTTCAAAGAATTCCTCCTTGGTTATAATCCTTTTTGTTTTTCTTTTATCTTTTTTTGGGACTTTTTGTCCCTGGCCATTACTTGGTCCTACTTATCTATCGGTATTAATTTGTGTTTGTTGGTTAAATTTACTTACTTACTTGGGCTTTATGGAATGCCCATAGTGTGGTTCATAAGAAGGTTTAAACTGAATCAATTCTACTATCAATTCTCCTGGAATAGAAAAACTCCAGAATGAACTTGTTTGCTTTAGCAATCGACATTAAGCGCGCATTTAATAATGTACGCCCCCTAATCCTGAACGAAAAGCTGCGCATGCTTAGGGTTCCAGAACGCATTGTCAATTTTGTCGCTACTCTTACAGAAAGAAGAGAGCTGTATTTTTCAAATACAAAGCAGAGTAGGACCTGTGGCGTAGGCGTTTCCCAAGATGGTGTTTTGTCGCCTTTACTATTTAATATATACTTGGCAGATACCTTCTACCTTTCCTGCTCATGTGAGGGCTGCATAGTACGCAGACGATCTCCTTGTGTACTCCAGAGGCGGTGATGTTCCTGAGGCGAAGGCTCATCTTGATGAAGCTGTTGCTCCGCTGTCGGATTGGCTATTGCAGATGAGGCTGGGGATTTCATCCGCAAAGTGCGTGTTCTGTCCATTTTCATCCAAAAGGATTGATCATAAGAATATTTTTATTGAAGTTGATGGCTCTTGTATATTGGGTTCACCTAAACTTAAATATCTTGGAATCCTTTTGGATTACAGATTCACTTGGATTCCACATATAAAAGAAAATGTTTTTCGGGCCAGCAAGGCCATCAATGTTCTCAAGGTTATTTCGAAGATCTTTCTTTTGCTTAAATGGCCTCTGGTCCCAGATATGGGGTGCTGCCACAGCCCTGGCTCTTACAGACTACAGGGTATTGCTTCGCTCGTACCTGGAATAGGGTTGCCAATTATATGGATCTGCTAATTCGGTGGCTCTTTGTATGCTGGATAAGATCCACAATACTGCTCTGAGGGTGACTCTAGGGGTTATGAGTACTACGCCGGTTGCGGTTCTCTTATCTGAGTCGAATGAATTTCACCTCATTTATAGACGGCGATTGCTCACTAGGAGTTTTATTATTCGAAATTTCTTCTGGCGTTTCAATCCCTTGATTACAAAGCTACAATTGCTTTCTGAAAGACTTGGATCTTCCACGTGTCGCATGCCGGTAACTATCGCCAGGGCTTCATTGCTGCGTGCCTATGGGGCAAAGCGTGAAGTATTGGAATTCTCGTTTAGAACTGACAGACCCGCTGATTTTGATTTGAGTTGGGAGATGATCACCATGACAACGGATGTTCAGCTAGACCTATTTCAAGAAAAGTGTAAAGAAGCTAAACAGGTTCTTTGCGATGTTAAAAATTGTTTTTAGGAGGATCCGTCTTTCCAGCTTGTTTACAGAATTCTCACTGTTATTTACACTGCCAGTTTAAGAGACCAAAGAATTTCCTTGATGTGGATTCCAACCCACAAAAGAATTATTGGTAATGAAATTGCAGACCATACAGTCAAAATGGCTCCTAGAACTGTTCTTAAGAAGGAGTTTGGTCTTCCTCGCCCGGATCTTTTGAGGTATTTTGATTCTCTTAGTTGTGATGAGGCCAAAGCCTTATGGTCTTTTTCTGGTAAACATCCGAGGGGAGTGAGGTATTTTTCTAGAATTGACTTTGAGACGAGGAGACCTTGATTTGCCGGTTCGAGAACTTCTCGTACAGCTATTAATTTTATTACCCGTCTTAGGACGGGTCATGTCATTTGTCTTGATCATTTTAACCGTTTGGGATGGAGAGTGGATCTCATTTGCCCGCTGTGGGGTAGAAGATAGAACTTTGAAACATCTTTTTAATGAATGTCCTATTCTGTCTCCAAACAGACCGGAGTTTTTTGGTTTCTTGGTCCACAGGTGAGGGATTGAGGATCCGGAGAGATTTGACCCTTTCGAGGTTATGTTGATTTGCTTTTTTGAGGTTTTCTTTGATGTTTTCTTGTTTTTAATTGTTCCTTTTTTCCTTTTTTTCTCTCCGTCTTGAGTTGTTTTGGTTAATTTTTGTGTTTTTTCTGTTTTTTTTAATCTTTCTTCCCTCCTATTCTGGTATGCTTCTTTTTCCGCATTTTGCCAACCTTCCCCCGGGTGAACTGAGTAGCCTGGGCCTACGGTGTCGTTTTATTTAGGAATTGACTATGCTATGCGTATTATTATTTTGTTTCCCCCTGTTTTCTTTTTTTTGTTTTTTCTTGTTTTTGGTTTTTCTTTTCACTATTTTGGTTTAAAATTTTGCTTACTTGTTTTTAGGTAAGAATGGTAAAACATTAGAAGAGAAAGAAACCACAAATTGACGAAGAAGACTTGGAAAAACCTGGACATTTTGTTTCTGTATTTGTTGATATATTTTATTACTTTTTTATACTCAAAAGTCCTTAAAAGATTAGTAACGCCTCACCTTACCCTACAATTAATAAATTTTGCTTCCTCGTGAGGAAGCTTTGTAGTCGTTTAATTTACAAAATTTTTAAAAATCCTTTTAACAAATTTTCTTCTATATGGGACTATGTTATATAAGACCCTGAACAATTGTCCAGATGTATGTATGTGTGTGTGTATGTGTGTGTGTGTGTATGGATCCCGATTTTTGTGAACACGATAACTCGAAGAGGTTTTAACGAATTTGGCTAAAATTTACCAGGTATATTTATCATAAAAATATCTCGAAATGGATTGATAAACTTTAAAAAATTTTCTCAAAAAAAAATTTTTTTTTGACTTTTTTCTAAAAAATTTTTTTTTTCTAAAAAATTTTTTTAAGTTGTTTATTGAAGTTAATATATAATAAAATCTTATTCTTTGCATCAAGACGAATCGATTGGTATATAACAAGTATAAATTGTATGAGAATTTATAGAGTTAATCACAATTAAAGCTGAAAAAATCGCATTTTTATCAAAAAAATGAGTTCTTTCCGCAAAATTATGTTGCTGTGTAAGAAAATCTTACTCATTTATTTCTAAAATCTTATTCATTACACCAAGACGGATCGATTGGTATATATAAAGTATATGTTTTACTTAAATTTATAGAATTAAAACCAATTATAGACAAAAAATTTGCACTTTTAATAAAAATTCATTTTTTCTTAAAAATCATGTTGCTGTACAATAGAATGTTATTATTTATTAAAAAATAAATCAAAAATCTTATTCTTTGCATCAAGAAGAATCGATTGATGTATATAAAGTATATATTCTATTGAAAATTATAGAATTAATTACAATTAAAGTTGAAAAATTCACTTTTTAACTAAAAATTTTTTTGTTTATTTAGATTCATATTACTGTATAAGAAAATTTTATTCTTTCTATTAAGACGAATGAACTTTATTTTATAAATGTTAAATTGTATTAAAAATGATTTAAAAATGAAATATATTTATCGTTAATGCTTCCTTCACGAGGAAGCAAATTTTTTTTGCTGATCGTAAAGAGGAAGCAAAATGTTCATGTAATGAACATCTGGATTTACAACTTTTTTCTTTACTTTTTTTTTTAAATTTCATAATGAAAATAAACAGAAATTGTATATTTCTAATCAGGTGAGGGTCAATGAAAGGATATAATTTGAAGAAAATATCTGTTAAATACCTTTTAGCAAGTTTTTGTCTTTCTTCGGCATTATAATCTAAAGAACCAATTTTTCCATTACCAGGAGTTGGCATAAATGCAATAAGAGCAAGCAGGGCTGTCCGTATACTCCAAGATGGTTGCCACGTTTCCGGATGATGACCGGAGATGCTCAGGCATATTTTTTTATTGATTTCAAATCGACCGTTGGGCTGTTAAAAGCAATACTTTCGCTTTATCGATTAAAATCTTGAAAATAAAAACTACGCTCGAAACAACTCACGGTCAGTAGAATGATATTTGGCGGCTTCATGGGATACTCTGGAGGCAGTAATATTCTCCCGTGATATACGCCACCTTCAAATTCCGAGGACGGTGGACCTTGTATAGTGAAGTGCCATTCAAAAAGATTATCTTCCAGAGGGTAGGCACAGTACTCTTCAGTAGGCTCATGTAACTCCATAGCTTCTCTCATCAACCGCTTGACAGCTAAAATTGTCCAACCATATTTATTTATTTTATGCAACACAGGCAAACATTCCATAAATTACATGATAATATAAACACGGGGAGAAAGATATAAAAATGCAATAATCCTTTACATAATTTATTACAAACAAGTTGAATGCTTTCTCAAAAATATAAATTTTTTAATTAGCTGAAAACTATTCCTTGATTTCTAATCATTTCTTTTATTTCTTTACATCAATACTTGATTAAGGTTCGTACGTTCACAAAAGTTATGAACGATAAGTAAAAGAAAGAAAACTTCTTATTTAAAAATAGTAAAAAACGAATGTCAGAAAATTAAAAGGCACATCATTCTATATCTTATTTACTAAATTTTGAGTCTATAGCACGACTTTAAATTAGAAGAACATTTTTATAAATATCTGTTAAAAATTAAAAAATTTTGTCCTCCATATTGGATCCGCCAATTTGAAGGGGTTAAGATTGCGTTAAAATAAATTATTGTCAGAGATAGATAGAATAGATAGAATATTGTTATGAATTCTAAACATTTAATTTTTTCTAGTACTTTTAATAAAATTCCCTGACTTTTCCCGATTTCCCTGACCTGTGGCAACCCTGATAAACTTTTTAAGAATTTTCTAATTCTAAACAAAAGTATATATAATACAGCTGTGCAAAATAATTCGAACCGAACTGTTCGAATTTTTTCGCCTAGTTCGAATGTCGAAAATTCGACATTCGAGTTAGCTTAGTTCGAATGTCGGTTTTTCGACATTCGAACTAGCCCAGTTCGAATGTCGAATATTCGACATTCGAGTTACTACAAAATTCGAACCGAACCGAGTTTTGTCGAAAACGCTAAAATGTCGAATTCTAAAATTCGACATTTCAGTTCGGATGTCGAATATTCGACATTTCGGCGCCCCAAAACCGAACTAAACTCGGTTCGGTTCGAATTTTGCACAGCTCTAATATATAAATAAATTTTTGTTTAAAAAGTTGCAAAAAAATTTATTTTGCATTAACTTTTATTTAAGAAATATATTTTTCTGTTCTTTGCTAGACACATTCCTAAGGCCAAATAAAAATGTTTTTTCAACATTTCGATTAAAAAAAAATACTTTTTATTTTTCGTGAAAATTTCCCGAATTCTGACCCCTCAGATTGGTATGTCTTTGGGCCATGGGCGTAGAATAACAATAATTGAAAACAAGAAGCTTTTTAAAAACTTCACTCATTACTTAAAACATAATTTTAATGCTGAAGAATTTAACAGTAAATTTAATTTTTACTATTTATTTTTGTATAATAATTAAAAAAAGATTAGGAATTCGGGTAAATTTAAACCGCGATATGATATAATCAAATATTCAACAATCTAAGACAGTTTTAAAAATTTGAAATGTTACAAATTTTTTTTTGAAATTAAGAGTTATTTAATATTACATCTTGCCTTGCATATATAATGCAATAAACTGTCGAATTTACATTTGAAATTAATTGCGAAAATAATAGATATTTGTATTCTACTGATTTTGAAAGTTAGAAGAAAAAATTTGGTAATAAATAGAAAGGAATTCTAAATACCTGGACTTTTAGCATTATATTTCCCCTCAAATGACATGTTTCTTGAATTTAGAGTACAATATTGATCATACACATTAAATTGTTTAACTTTTATAACACTTGTTCATTAAAACAAGATTGCATTCTGAAAAATAACATTTCTCCATAAAAAAATACATTCAACTGAATATAAATAACATCTGGATGTGTAAATAATTAATTGACTTAGGCTTTTGAAGAAATTATTGAAAACCTGTAAACGTCAATGAACATTCCTATAACATTAGGACAAATCGAATAAAAACTGTCACACTAGTCATACATCATTCCCAACAATAATGACAATAATCAACAAACTTTAATGCATGAATAATAAAGATATTAGAAATGCAACATATGCATTAAACTCATTGTTAAAAAACGTAAAGGTGCCTACATACTTTCAGCTTTTTAGGCGAGCATTGAAAATGTACTTTTATGGAAAGTACATTTTCAATGCTCGCCTAAAAAGCTGAAAGAATGTAAGCACCTTTATGCTTGATCGATTAATGGAGCGTTTAGGGTGCAATCCCATTACAGCAGAATACGTCGACCGAAAACAGAAAATCATGAGTGCGAAAGAGATAGATAGATATTGTTGTTCTTTTCACTCTCATGATTTTCTGCTTTCGGTCGACGTATTCTGCATTCATGGGATCGCACCCTTACACCTTCTATAAAAATTGTCCAGAAAGGAAAATTTGCATTGGAGTAAGAGAGTCAGATTGTGTATCTGACTCTCTTACTCCAATGCAAATTTTCCTTTCTGGACAATTTTTATAGAAGGTGTAAACGCTCCATAAAGAATCAGGATTGATCGAAAAGTCATTAAAGGCCAACGCAGAATAGATCTGTAACCGGACCGCAATCGTAACCGTAAGCGTAAGAATGAGTTAGAGAAGGATAAACAATATACCTATCCTTCTTTAACTCATTCTCACGGTTACGCTTACGATGCGGTTCCGGTTACAGATCTATTCTGCGTTGGCCTTTAGATAGAATGGTTTCTTCTTTCGTTATAAATTTCTTCTTTCATTTGAATTGAAGAGTTCAAAAACCTTCGCGAACGCATAACATGAGTTAGAAAAGGATAGAGATATATTTGCGTCCTTTTCTACCTCTCTGTTCTTCCTTCTATAAAGCTGCATGTTTTAACATTTTTTTTATGAAAAAAAAGTCTCATGTGTTTTCTGCACCTTAAACCCAAAATTGTCTGATTCTAAATAATTATATATTTTGCATATAGGTTTACTTTAACTCAGTAAACTATCGTAAATTAATATAAAGAATATGAATCTATTTGGAATAAAAAACATAATAAATGCATTTGCTAGCAATGTAGAAAAACCTTTTTACAGCTAGGTGTGAACCAGTGTGAACGGGATTTCAACAAAGGTGTAAATGCACCCTGAAGAAAAGAGACCTACACTTTTGCTGTTTCACAACAACTGATTTGTGTTTATCGTGTTTATAAAGTTCCGACCGACTGTTTTTATATATATAAAATACTTGTCTCTTTTAATTTTTGTAAAAGTTTTGTCATATGCTGACATCAAGAAAAAGTAATAATATTAATTTAGTAAATTTTTTTTTAAATATAATTTCTTATTTCAAATGTTTACTAGAGAAAGGCATAAAGATTAAAATGTAACAATTTTTTTTGCATAATAGACAATAAAGTAGTAATATCAAATTTTTTAGAGAAACAACACGAGACTATTTTCTCTCAATTAAATAATAAATGTCCACATTTTCCTTAATTATAATAAAAATTGGACTAAAAATTTGTTTTTTTAGTGTGAAATAATTATCAATTGTATACAAAAAAAAGTGTTATTTATATCAATATGAATTTTTTTGGCTACTTTTATTTGTCAGAAAAATATTTTTCTTCTGTTTTATAATTTATATAAATTTATTGTAAATAATTATATAATTTTAATGCCATTTCTTTAACATCTGCAAAGGTATGTAGTTTAATTTAAATTTACCTTTACTTGTAATGTTTCTTTTCAAAATTAATATTTTCTTTCGATTTGAAATTATAATTTGCTAAAACTATCCTGAACTCCTATCCTTAAATTTTTTTCTTTTTTTATGTGAGATGTTTTTTTTATAAAAATTTAATTAAGGTTTGTTAAAATAAAATGATGTAATAAATTTCTTATAACAATTCGCTTTAAAAATTTCCAAAAGAATTTAATTATTTTCTAAAATTATAATAAATCCTTCAAAACAATTCAATTATTTTTATAAATATAGTAAAATTCTTTGCAGATATTCTATTATTTTGAATACAATAATTCTAATAAAATTTCATAAAAGAATTCAATTTTTTTTTAATTTTTAATAATAGTTTTCCTCTAAAGCAGTTCAATTTTTTTTATATATTTATTATTAAAATTTTTCGAAAGAATCCAATTATTTTCTTTAATTTTAATAAGTTCTTCAAAACAATTCAATTATTTTTTTAAGGATTAAAATTCATCGCAAGAATTAAATTATTTTGTAGGAATAATAAAATTATTATTTGGAAAGAATTCAAAGAAATTTATCAAAAGAACTGAATTATGATTTTCAAAAATTTTACTAAAATTCTTCGATGAAATTCAGTTATTCTCAAATTTTTTGATAAAATTCTTCGAAGGAATTCAATTATTTTCAATTTAAAAAAAGAAATTCTTTGCAAGAATTCAATGATTTTCAATACATTAACTTTAAATATTTAATAATTTGAAAATATTTAAAAAGTAAATTTATGATAAAAGTTAGAAAACAAAATAGCAAACAATAACTAACTTAAAACTGCTAACAGATTACCGGAATACAACAATTAATTAATAATAATGAAGTACATGTTCCGGTAATCTTTTCGCAGTTTGAAGTTAGCTGTTGTTTGCTTTTTTGTTTCGTAACTTTTTTATAATTTTTTTTTTTTAAATATTATTAATTTTAAAATTAATGTATTGAAAATCATCAAATTGTTGCAAAGAATTTTATCAAAAAATTTGATAATAATAGAATTCCTTCAAAGAATTTTATTATTCAGGAAAATAACTAAATTCTCGCGGAAAATTTTATTAAAATTTTAAAAAATTATACCTAATTAAATTCTTTTGAAGAATTTCTTTGAATTTTTTTTAAACTAATGGAGTTTCTTTAATAATTTTAATTGAAAATTTTGAAAGCAATTCAATTTTATGAAGAAGAATTTTATTAAAATTGTATTAAAAATAATTGAATTTTTGCGAAAAATTTTACTATTTATAAAAATAATTGAATTGTTCCGAAGAATTTATTAAAATTTTAGAAAATAAATGAATTTTATGTTAATATTTAAAAATTTAAATTCTTTCGAGGAATTCTATTAAAATTTTTTTGAAAAGAATTGAATTCCTGCAAAGGATTTTACTATTTATAAAAATAATTGAATTATTGCGAAGAATTTTACTATTTATAAAAACAATTGAAATATTTCGAAGAATTTATTAAAATTTTAAGAAATAATTAAATTTTTATGAAGAATTTTATAGAAATATTTAAAAATAATGAAATTTTTTCGAGAAATTCAATTAAAGTTGTTTCGAAAATAATTGAATTTCTTTAAAGAATTTTATTAAAATTAATTATATTTAAAATAATTGAATTCATTACAAGAATTTTATTATTTTTTGAAAATACAAATTGAATTCTTTCAATTTTTTTGACGAATATATTTAAAAATTGCATTGAAAGTAATTTAATTTTTATAAAGAATTTTTTTAAAATATTTTGAGAATAATTGAATTATTTTTAGAGAATTTTAAATTCTTGTTAAAATTGAATTTTATGGAAATTTTTGAAAATAATTAAATTCTTTCGTGTAATTTCATTAAAATTGTATTAAAAATAATTTAATTCCTGCAAAGAATTTTAGTATTTATAAAAATAGTTGAATTGTTTCGAAGAATTTATTAAAATTTTAGAAAATAATTAAAATTAAAAAAAAAAATATTTGAATTCATCCAAGGAATTCAATTTGTAAAATTATTATATTTTGAAGATAATTGAATTCCTGCAAAGAATTTTACTATTTATAAAATTAATTGAATTCTTGCGAAGAATTTTACTATTTATAAAAATAATTGAATTTTTTCGAAGAATTTATTAAAATTTTAGTAAAAATTTTGAAATTTTTCGAAATGTGTTAAATTTTTTTTTTAAAATTGAATTCTTACGAGGTATTCAATTAAAATTGTTTTGAAAATCATTGAATTTTTGTAAAGATTTAAATAATTGAATTGTTTAGAAGGATTTATTAAAATTTTAGAAAATAATTGAATTCTTTCGTGAAATTTTATTTAAATTTTTGAAAATATGAATAGTAATAATTAGTTTTGTACTTAATAAGTGAATTTTAAAAATTCTGATTATGAAATTATTTAAAAAAATTATATTTGAAAATAAAAAATTTTGTAATTTGCATAACAATAATTAATTTGAAAATCACGTTTCGTGCGTTAGCGCGCGTAACATTTGCTAGTTATTAATATAGAAGAAGATTGAAATTCTTATAGAGCTGCATCTACCTTTCAAGTTAAACATTTTCTAAATAACATTTTTTTGAAAATCGATGTTTTTCTAAGTAATTGATAATTTTTAATCCTTGCCAAATTTGTAGGGAAGAAATTTGAAAAATTCTAAATTAAAACCAAGAGGATTTAGGTATAGGGCCAAAATAAGTGAAACCGGCCACTTGAAAAATTTTTATCTCCAATTTTTAAGTTATCTATGATTTTTGGTAGATATATGAGTACACTTTTTCCCCCTAAATTTTTTTTCAAAAAAAAAAAATTTATTTTTGAAGTAATCAGCTGTTGAAGTTTTGGGTCATTTTATTTTCATTTTATTATTACTTTGAAACAAATAAAGATAATTAAGTGAATTTTTTTTTAAATTAAAGCTTAAAGTCTATACTTTAAGGATTAAATAAAGCGATTGCTAAAAAATGAAAATTTATAATTGTTATTAACAATTCTTTTAAACAATTGCAAATTGAAGAATGTTCTCAATGTTTTTGAAAGATTAAATTACGATGTATTGATGCGCAAAACTTCAAGCATTAAAATAAAAAAAAGAAAAATGAGTAACCTTCAATATTATAGAAATTGTGTAGATTTTTCTGACAAAATTCAGGCGAAATTCGACTTGAGTTACTGGAAAAAGATAAAATTGCAAACGAATAAATAAGATCGTCTTTTGTTTTGTTAGAAACTTCACGCTTTCAAACGGATTTTTAAGATTAAAGATCAAATTTCGCCTGCATTTTGTCAGAAAAATCTACACAATTTCTATAATATTGAAGGTTACTCATTTTTCTTTTTTTTATTTTAATGCTTGAAGTTTTGCGCATCAATACATCGTAATTTAATCTTTCAAAAACATTGAGAACATTCTTCAATTTGCAATTGTTTAAAAGAATTGTTAATAACAATTATAAATTTTCATTTTTTAGCAATCGCTTTATTTAATCCTTAAAGTATAGACTTTAAGCTTAAATTTAAAAAAAAATTCACTTAATTATCTTTATTTGTTTCAAAGTAATAATAAAATGAAAATAAAATGACCCAAAACTTCAACAGCTGATTACTTTAAAAATAAATTTTTTTTTTTGAAAAAAAATTTAGGGGGAAAAAGTGTACTCATATATCTACCAAAAATCATAGATAACTTAAAAATTGGAGATAAAAATTTTTCAAGTGGCCGGTTTCACTTATTTTGGCCCTATAAGATTATTTATAAAATTATATAACATAAAAAATTGTGTTTTAGAGATTTTATAATACGTAAAATGGACAATACAGAAGAAAAATCTGAGGCATTAAAAATGTCAAATGCAAATCAAGTAACAGAAATTCAAAGTCTTAGATTGAAAAAGAATGCCCTACAGGCTCGAATGAATGGAAGTCATAATAAAATTACGAAGCCTTTAATCAGCCAACGTAATGAAACTAACCCCAGTTCAATTTCAAAAAGTGTCCTTTCGACTAAACGTAAAAATCCTTTTGCAAAGAATGAGCAAAATAAAAAATTAAAAGACAACAACCCGGAACTAGAAACAACTTTTGATTCGACGCTTTTTGAATTACTTAATCTAAAACCGTCAAATGTAAAGAAACCAAGTCCATTAAGGGAAACAACATTTGAGAATATATTGGACAAATTTGAAAATTTTGACTCCATTCCTGAAAAGGAAGAATTGCATGGTGAAAAATATGTGCCTATAGATTGGACTCTACATAAAAAAATTAGATTAATGTCAGACAAGCCATTTGCTTGGAGCGTAAAGTTGAAAACTAGCGAAGAAGCATCCAGTACCACTGGTTTCGTGAGGTGTTTGGACATTGGTGAAAAGGAAACAACATTGGATACCACTCTAAATGCAAGGTTGGTTTTTATTTTCATTCACATATTACATATTACATTGTTTTTAAGCCTTTTTGCTAAGTACAAGCTTTAAACAATTTTTTATTTTTTACGGAACAATTACTGACAAAATTATAAACAGTCTGAATCAAATAAGAGAACATTCTACTTCAGAATATAAATTAAGTTTTTCATAACTATAAAACATGAAGATATCGATAACTCGGAGTGATCGATTTCTTCGTGTTTTATAATAATTAAAGATGATTCAAGCATTTTTAACTAAAATTCTTCCTTAAATCGACTATTTTTAATAAGTTCTTTGACAATTTTCAAATCCATTTGTTTACAATATTCAATTTTACGAAATTTTAATTATTCGCAAATTCTTCAATCAAATATATATTAGAAAATAAAAACTTAAAATAATGTAAAAAACATTCAATTAAACTTTTTACAAAAAATAAATTTCAAAATTCAATTATGTTTCTAAAAATTGATGGTATAATGATTTTAATATTTAATTATTATCTAAAATTTTAACTAAAATTCATTTTTAAATCAATTTTTATTACAAAATTCTATGAGAATTCAATTATTTAAATACAAAAAATAGATAATTTATTGAATAATAGAATGTTTTTTAAAATTTAATTCCCATAACAGATTTTTATTAACAAATTTTTAAATAATTGAATTCTTTCGATGAATTTTAATAAAATTTTTAAAAATAATTGATTCCCTGCAAAGAATTATATTAATTTTGAACAATATTGAGTTCTTGCGAAGAATATTACTCTTGAAAATAATTGAATTTCCGAAATAATTTATAACTTTTCCAAAATAAAATAAAAAATTTTTTTCGTGTTTTTAACTATAAGTCTTCTATAAATGCATTATTTTTAATAATTTTTGAAAAACTTGTTTTAGAAAACCCGGTAATTAAATTTTCTCAAAAAAATTAATTCCACAAAATTGTTAGTTGAAAAAATGAAGAATTTAGATTCCATTATAATCATCTTATAGAGCATTTAAAAATACATTGATTGGCCCAAGCTTTAATAATTTTTTACCCTATTTATGAAAAGTTATTCATATATTTCAAGTGTTATTATCTCTACGAGGAAGCAAAGTATATTGATGAAATGAGCACAAAGAGAATTACAAAAATATACAACTTGGCAGCGGCTTCCAAGCTTTCCAATTTCATGTGGTTTTTTTTCCAGTGAATGCCTCATATTTGAGTATTATATAAAATGTGATATTTTTTGAATAACTCTTCAGGTTTCATCGTCATTGCTTAGTTTGGCAACATCCATCAATACCATGGATGGAATTATATCCTCGAGTTATGGATAAAGCAACCGGATCTGGTGGTAGCAATGGTCTTATTGCAGGAAACCAAGTTATAAAAGATGCTTTGTATAAGGAATGGAATGAAAGCTTCAGATCGTTATTTCATTTATTGCGGGCTAGACAGTGTCCATATTTCTACGTTTGCGCTAATTCATTTACAGCACTTTTTCGTGCTGCTGGAATATGTGGATTATCTGAACTTCACGCACTTTTAACTCCCACAACTCGAGGATTTAGGAAGGCACTGAAGCAAGAAGGTTCATTTAACATTTAATCAAAATATTACCAATTTTTACGTTAAGAATTTTTTCTAATCATAAGAATTCATAAAATAAATGCATTTTAGAAATAGAATACACTATGCCTTTACAAAAGAGAGCACAATTACATTCTGGTTTAGTAAAGAAAAGTTCGAATAACACGAAAGATAATGACAATTTTGCTGAAGTGCAAGATCAAAATGCTGTGTGTGATGAAGATGAGTTGGATGACAATTGGTTGCAAAGTCTTGGTGTAGATGAATCTGTAATCAGAAGGCTCCACAATTCACAGGTATTGAATCTATTTTCTATTGTTTAACTGACTTTGCGTTTAATTTTTGCAAGTTTGAAATAAAAAAAATTGTTGTTTTCTTTACAGAATAGGATAACGTCAGAAAAAGAAAGCGAAATTGATAACGAGAAACAATCATTAATTTTTGTGGTTGGAGTCGAAGCTCAAGCATTATTTAATTTTCTAATTAACTGTAAATCTGCCACAACAACAATAGGAAATATGGCAGGAATACCTCCTACTCTTCTGGCACCAGTGGCGTTTAACGGAGCTACACTTAAGTCATTAAAGGTTTCATTAAACTTGCCTTAAATACAAATTATATATGTGACCGCGTCTGAGAAAAGGGATCTTCTGACAAAACTTAACTTTTCGAGTAAAATGCATTTAAAGTTTTTCATTCAAAATGCTGTTTTTAAGCGAAAATATCTATAATCATTTTCGTCATAAAAAAAGTATATTTTCATTGAAAATTTTTTTTGAAGTTAAAAAAATTTTTTTTTTAAATTGTTTAAATAATTGCAAAAAAATTTTTTTAACCCGCAACTAATTGCATTACATTTTAAGGACCTTATAGTATAAGAAACCATCTAAATCTAAACATCGATTTTTTGGTCATAAAGTCCCTATTCTAAGACGCGGTTACATATATGCATGGTAGTCATAACACATGAGTGCAAAACAATATTTTTAAAAAACTAATTAAATAGAATTTTCTATCATATTTAAAAAAAATTAATTATCCAGGCCTCGCACTCATCTACTAAAACCTACTATTAACTACTTTTTTTACGTTATGCTACTATTTGGGTACTTTTTTAGATTTCAGCCACTAAAAGCTACTATTTCTGTTTTTCCTGAGAATTTCCACTACTTCAAATTCGCAAATACTGGAAATCAAAAAACTATTCTCAAAAATTATAATCGAATTCTTTAAAACGATTCAATTATTTTCAAAAAAATTTCGAAATTCAATTATTTTCAATATCTAGTATTTTGATGAAATTTCGCAAAAGAATTCAATTATTTAAAAAAAAATTGATAAAATTCATCCAAAATTCAATTATTTTCACAAATAATATTTCCACAGGAATTAAATCAATTTAGAATAGTATTTTATACAATTCTTCACAATAATTCAATTACTTTCACTAATAATAACATTTTTCATGGAAATTCAATTTTTTTAAAAAAATTTATGATAAAATTTTAAGTAAGAATTCAATTATTTTCATAAATAATAAGACTTATCGAAGAATTCCAATTATTGTCAATACTATTTTAAATTAATTAATCGAAAAATTCAATTCTTTTCACAAATAAAATTTTTCACAAGAATTCAATTATTTAAAATAAAATTTTCATAATATTTATTACATTACGAAAAAATTAATTATTTAAAAGAATGTTTATAATATTCTTATGAAGAATTCAATTATTTTCAAAAATAACTAAATTTTTCACAGAAATTCAATTCTTTTTAAACATTTTAATAAAATTTTTCGCAATAATTCAATTATTTACAAAAATATTAAAATTTTTCACAGGAATTCAATTATTTTCAAATATTTCAATAAAATTGTTCGAAAGAAATTAATTGTCTTAAATACAATTTTTATCAATATTTTTTTAAATAATTAAATTATTCTTTTAAATTTTAATAAAATTCTTTCTAAGAATTTAATTGTCCACATAAATAATAATTGATCGAAAGCATTCAATTATGTCGATAAATAAGAAAATTATTCCCGAAAATTCAATTATTTTGAGGTATTTTAATAAAATTCTTTGTAAAATTTAATTATTTTCATAAATAATAATATTTATCATAATAATTCATTTATTTTTAAAACTAATAAATTTCTTCTTGAAAATTCCATTATTTTAAAAAATTCTAATACAATCATTCGCAAGAATTCAATTCTTTTCGTGAATAATAAAAATTTCTCAGGAATTCAATTATTTAAATTAGAATTTTCATAAAATTAATCGAAAGAAATGAATGAAATTATTTTTATAAATATTATTTAAATTCTTTCATGAATAATAAAATTCGTTGTAAGAATTCAATTTATAAGCAGGATAAGAAAAAAGTTTTGAAAATTTTGTTTTAAAGTAATTTTTGATGGAAATTAGGAAAAAGTCAGGAAAATAAAAAATATGGAATAGAATTTCTGTGAATTTTGTAAACTGTCTAAAACGAGAGTCTTTGGTGGTCAAGTTTAATTTTTCAATAGCTACATTTTGACTACTTTTTTTAGATATTTTTTATTGCAAGTTTTTTAAAATTAATTATCGAGGATATAAATTTATATTATTTAAAAATATATAAATATTAATTAAATTTCACAAAAATGATGAAGAATAAATATTGTATTTTTAATAATTAGATAAAAAATGACAATAACCCACAAAAATTAATTTTCAAAACAAACAAATGAATGAAGAGAATTTGCTAACGGAAAGGAAACTTACGATTTTTATAAAGTATTTTTTATAAATTTCTTTGAAATAATTCAATTATTATCATAAATAATAAAATGTTTATAGGGATTCAATTATTATTGTAAATAATAATATTCTTTTTAGGAATTGAATTATTATTTTCACAAATAATAAAACTCATTGCAGAATTTCAATTATTTTTAATACAATTTTAATCGAATTTCTCGACAAAATGTAATTATTCTTGAAAATTTTAATTAAAATTCATCAAAAGAATTCAATTTTAAGAAACATTCAATTATTAAATAAATTATTATTTTTGGATTTAAATAATTGAATTCTAGTAGAATTTTCTAATAAAAATTCATTTAAAAATGAATTTTAGTTAAAATTTTGGATTATAATTGAATATTAAAAGCAGTATAGCGTGAACTTTCAAAAATAAAATTGAATTTTAAAACAAATGGATTTGAAAATGGTCAAAGAACTTTTTCGAAAATTATTAAAAATAATTGATTTAAAGAATAATTTTAGTTAAAAATTCTTGAAAATAATAATTGAATTGAAAAGATTAAATTTATTTTGAAGTACAATATTTTTATAATATAAAATAATGATTTTATCACTGGGCCAATTTGAATTATTATAAAACATGAAGAACCTTGGACTGGTTATATTTTTGTCAGTAATTGGTCCGCAATTTTTCATTTTTGGTCCGTAAAATTTGTATTTTTAAATACTTGAACTGGTTTGAGCCCTGATAATTAATTTTTTGAGATAACCCTGAATAAAATAAATTACTTTTTTAGTCGTCAAATTTAATTTTTCCATGGCTACTTTTTACTCTTAAATCTACTTTTTACTACTCTTTTACTAATTAAAAAGTGCGAACCCTGTCCTACGACTACCATATAGCTTTTCTTACTGTATTTTTATTTTTTTCTTCTCTATTCAAATTATCCTAAAAGTGTATTATTATTATTATTTGTCCTTAGGTCCGTGAAAATCAAGTGCTGGTTGACAACAATAAATTCTTTTCTTTAGAATTAAAAGGTGCTTTAATGCCACATGTAATGCCAGCTCTATGTTCTTTGATGAAAACAAGTGAACGTAAATATTTTTCAATAAGTTGTGCACAATTGGGTTCAACATCGTCTTTTTCGAGAGCTAAGCATGGTCAAGGTAAAGAAAATTGAAAAAAGATAGTTGTGTTTTTCCCAATCAGAAACTATTTTTTAATTTAATTTTTTGTATTTCTCAGGTGAAGAAGAATTGAAACCAAATGAAAGGTTCCCTCAAAGTGTATTTGGTCAGGAAAATCTGAGTGATTGTGGCTTTAGTAAAGAATTGCTGGAACACTTCTGCAATCCAGACCCAAATAGAATACACATTGTTGAAAATTTGAAATTTTCAAATGATTTGTATTCGTGGACGTAAAACTATCATGAAAGAGAAATTATTTTTTCTTACTGACTTTTTAAATAAATTTCTTATCGTCTAATAATATTAGTGCAATATACGTGTAAATAAATATTTTTCTATTTATTGTATTTAATAATACTTTTTTAAATGATAGTTTGATGAATCTAAAGTCTTTGTGACGCATTTTGATGTGAAATTATCAAGATTCTGTGAATCTAAATACATACACAATTGGCATGATCTTTGTATTTTTTCATAAAAAATTACAAAAGTTACCAAGCACACATCCAAATTATGAATGCATAATGTGTTAACTTTTAATTTCAACTTAACTTTAACTAATTTGCATTAGCAAAGAAAAAAAAAGCCACTGTTTATTTAAATAATGACAAGTTTAGTAATTGCTTAAATAATCGTTTATTTATATATTTATTTATTGAGAATAAAGGAATCGCCATTTATTACGTTCTTTGGTACATAAAAATACTACCTAAATCTTAAATCTTTAAATAAAGAAATAATAAATTAAACAAAAAAGCAAATGTCCAACTAGGTTGTAACAATATAAACAAAAAGTTATTAACAGAATATAAGTAGATTTACATTGATTCATAATATATTAAATACACACTTTTGAGTCTTATTTAAAAAAATAGGCTAGGATTATTAATCGAGTCTCCAATGGAAATTGTCAGACATCTAGAAATAAATTAATCGACAACAATTATCTTGTCTTCAAGGCCGCTTAACCATGATGGCTTCACTGAAAGATGAAAGAGAGATGAATCAAAGACCTGTGCTATCTTTAATTCGAAGCCTGGTGGTGCCATTGCGTGGACGAAATTTTCTTCATTATTTGTTTTTCGGTGTACAGGAGCGGCTTAAGGGCCGGTCAACCTTGTCGGTTGATCGCGTGGCAGTTTTGGAGGCGCCGAAATTCACTGTAAAAGTTACATTATTTTTAAGTTTTGTCGCTCTAATAAATTAATTATATAAGACTTGTGATCATTTTCTTTGAAATAATAAAAAATAATAAAAACACTTGTTCGAATGAATTCTGTATGACAGATTAATTAATTTTTCATATATTCTATTAGTTACTTTAAGAAAAACATAAAATCATACCGTTATTATCTTTCATTTTAAAAGTAGTTGTTTCTGTGTGATCATTGTTACAAGACTTTCCTCTAGTTTCTATTTTATCGCTGTTTTTTGCCTTCATTGACTGAGATTTATTTAACATTGAACTGAATTCGCCAAATTTTAATATTTCTTCGAATGCTGATTGTTCCACAGTTACCTATTAACATTAAAATATATTGTTAATATTTAATTATTCAAGTATGAAAATTTATTGATAATTTCTAGATGACTTGAAAAAAAGTCACTTTTTAAAATAAAATTAGCAATTTTAAAAATAATACATCGTAAAAATTTTTAAATCAAATTTATTTTCATAAAAATAAAATATGAATTGGAATAGGTAGTTTTAATATTATTATAACTATAATAATCATATATTCTAATACAGGGAATTCAGAGAAAAGTCATGGATTTTTATTAAAAGTACTGAAAAAAATTAAATTTTTAGAATTCATAAGAAAATTCTGAATTTTTGTGTCTTTTTGGTTTGACTCATAAACTATAAAATTACCACAAATTAAAATACAAAACCTTTAATTTTTTGAATTTCTGACAATAATTTCTTTTTTATAACTTAATTTTTAATCATAAAATAATGACTTATAAATTATTAAATGAATGATTTTACTCAAATATTTCAAAATTAATTCAATTTTAAAAGATTTGCGTTTACAATTTTCATAAATAATTGAACTTCAACAGGTTTTAATTTGAAATTTTAGAAAATTTCAATTTTGAATGAATTTATAATTAGAAATTTTAAAGAACTTAAATTTTTGAAAAATGTTAATAATTCAAAATCTTTAAATCTTTAATTCAAAATTTTCTAAAATTAGTTAAATTTTTCAATATATGTTTAATTAATTGAGGGGCTGGATGCTATAATGTGTTACGCGCCATGTTAAGTGAATGGCGCGTAACACATTATAGCATCCAACCCCTCAATTATTAAAAATAATGGATTCATAGAAGAACTTTAGTTAAAAACACTTAAAAAATTGAATTTTTGAGAAGTTACAAATGATTGCAGAAATTCAATCATTTTCAAAAGTAATTAAATTCTTATCACAAAATTCAATTATGTTCAAAATTTACAAAAAATTTTTCACAAAATCCCAATTATTATCTTTATAATTAAAAAAATTCTTCAAAATTCAATGATTTTATTACAATTTTTAAAAAATTGTAATAAAATTCTTGTGAAAATTTCAATTATTTAAAAAATTTTTCCTCATTTTAATGATTTTCAATATCTACTATTTTAATAAAATTACCCAAAAGAATTCAATTATTTAAAAACAATTTTAATAAAATTGTACGAAAACATTTAATTATTTTCATAAATAATAAAAATTTCACAGGAATTCAATTATTTACAAATATTTTATAAGTTTCTTCTCAATAATTCAATTATTATCATAAATCTGAATAAAACTCATCGCAAAATTTCAATTATTTTTAATACAATTTTAATTTAATTTCCCGAAAAATGAAATTATTCTTAAAAATTTTATTGAAATTCGTCAAAAGAATTCAATTCTTCAATAAATTATTTACTTTTGTTTTTAAATAATTGAATTCTCGTAGAATTTTCTAATAAAAATTGATTTAAAAATGTATTTTAGTTAAAATTTTTGATAATAATTGAATATGAAAATAATTTTGAAGAAGTTACTATAACAATATTCTTATAATATAAAATAATTATTTTATCTTTCGTACATCTTTAATTTATTATAAAAAATGAAAAAATCGATTGCTGAGTCGAAGACTCAAAGTAATCGATTTCTTCATTCAAAAAAAAATTTATTTAAAAAACAAGTTATTGATGTTTTTCAATAATTTTGCAATTAAAGAAATTCGTAAATTAATGTAACAAAACATTTTTTTGAGTAAAATCTTTTCCTTTATTTTCTAAAAATTCAAAATTTTTCATTTTCAATTAAAATTTGTTATTGACAAATTGAATTTATAACCATTTTTTCCCTTTATTTTTAAAAAACTTTTAATTTTATTAAAACAATTGTAATTAAGAAATAGAAATTATGTAAATTATTTCCTTATGAAAATTGAAAATTTTCTACAAAAATATTAAGAAACGGAAATATGTAATGTTTTTTTCCCAAAATAAAAGAATGAGTTTGTGAACAATATTGTTATTGAGAAATAAAAATTATGCATAAAATAGGTATTTATTTACTACTTCTTAATCATAATTTTTTAACAATTTTCTATTTTTTATAAATAAACAAGAGAAAAATTTGAATAATTTAGTTTAATCAAACAAAATTTGTTATGGAAAAAAAGCATATAATAAACAAAATGGGTATATTTTTCATTTGTTAATCATCATTTTTTAAAAATTTTCTAATTTCTAATATTAATTTATTATGAATCCTGAAAAAATATCTGCACATTTTCGATTTGTCAAACAATACCTATTTTTTTAGAGAAAAAAAACAGAAGCATACACAAAAACTAACTACAAAAAAAAATAAAAAAAATTGTTTTGACAGAATGCGATTTGGCTATATACATAAACTACCTTGAATTCTTAATTTCAATCTTCTCACAACAATTTGCAAATAGTTAGCGGCTCTCAGTAAAATTTCCAATACATTTAAAGTTGTCAATGCCAACTTGCAATACAAATTTAATGAAAATTTAAAAAGTAAATTTTAGAAAAAGAAACATTCAGTATTTTACATTAAAATAATATTTAGGTGTAAAAAAGACATAAGTGACGATATATTTTAAAGGCATATATGGGTCCAAAATTTCTAGGGTTTTTGTGTTTGCTGATTACAAATTGATGTTAGATTTAAAAAATTCAAAATGACGCATCCAATATAGCGGACACATTTTTTTGGATTCATCAGATTCGTTTGAAACTCATTAGTCTCTTTATGGGTCTCTGATTACAAATTCAAAGTTAGTTATAAAAGTTTAAAAATAACAGATTAAATATTTGTCCGACATTTTGAATGTTTAAAAACTTACCTTACGAGGCCTGCCACGTTTATTTTTAACAGGAACTAATTTAGTAGAAGATTCATTTTTCATTGCTCTTTTTTGATGCCATTGGAGGTGGGAATCTAAATGTTGCTTTAATTTATCTTGCCTAGCAAACATACGAGGACACAAAGTACAAGCAAACGGTCTCTCTCCAGTGTGCACTCGTCTATGCCTTGCAAGATGTGATGCTCTAGTGAATGCTAACGTACAAAGATCACAAGAATAAGGTTTGTGTTGTTTTTTATCAATTCTCAAAAGTTCTTCTGTACTTCTGCAGATTTTTTCTCTGTTTGATTTTTCAAAACTCTGTTTTATAGTACTTGATTTTTCTTCTGTTTTTGTTAGCAAATCCTGAAAATCGAACAAATTTAATGACTAAAATATTTTATAAATTTCGAAAAAAAATTCAAAATGTAAATATTTTAATTGTTCTGATATTTCACAATAGAGGTATTTGCATGTGAAATATAAAATATTTCTAATGTAAAATTATAAATACGAATACACTTGAATCTGGATCGGTGAAACTATTAATCGGTGATGGCTTCAACGATCCAGCGGATTAGTTGAGACTGAGAAGCAAAACAAACAGGGCCGTACGAAGTATTTTATGTGTGCACCTTTCTTTTAAAAAATAATTCATGTTAGTAAATTAAAAAAAATAACAAAATATTATTAAATATTATGCAAAAATAAAATGTATTTATATTAAAAGAAAAAAGTAAATAATGATAAAGTTATCAAATGAAATAAATAGCATCGGGCAATGAGAACCTTTTTAGGCACGGCACTGATCGACACTTCAAAGTCCCCTTTCCACGCCTACAAACTATGTAAACAGAGTCTCACCGATCCAGATTCCAGTGTAGAGAAATGGAAAAAGGAATAACTTCAGGGTAGGTTAGAATAAGAAATACAAGATTTTTTTTACAATGCTCTATATTATTAAGAACTTTTGAACATAAGAAATTTATCAAATAATACAGGAAATATTTAACATTTATCATTTATACTAATTAATGCTTTTTTTGGAAGTAGATTTGAATAAATCAGTTAAATACGCATAATAATCAGTTTAAAGATGATGTCATAAAACAATAGGAATATTCTTTATCAGTGATATGCAATCAAAGGTTCATAACATTCTTGATTTTTTAAACATTTATTTTAATTACAAAATAAATTAATTATAAGTTAAATTATAACTTGATATTACAACTTAATTATCAGTTAAATTATAGCTTAATTTATAAGTACTCAGGAAAATATTAAGTTACTGAAAATTTACAGGTTAATTGAGTAACTCAAGAGGTCATAAAATAAACTTTGGAATTGTATATTTTTCTCTTTGACGGTAATGAATATTAATTATAGTAGTGATGCATGTTGATCAAATAGATGCTACTATAAATTGACATAAACTATTTGAATGATTTGAATGATTTTTAAAAAGAAAAAGTTAATTCAAGGTTGCCACAAATATTTAATTTTATTTTTCCCTGACTTTTCTCTGATTTCCAGACAAAATTTTTAATTTTTCCCTGACCCTAAAGAATATTCTGATTCAATCTAAAAATTATTAGATACTCAAAAAATGTTCTATTACAAAAATTTACAAAGGACCCCGCACAAAAAGTACAGAATTTGGTTCCCGGTCAAATTTGTTTTGGATTTTAGATTTATGTTTGAGTTAAAGTAATTTGGAACAAATATAACCAATAAATATTAACAAATTTGACCGGGAACAAACTTATGTACTTTTTGTGCGTCGTTCTTTCTTTTATTGTAAAAATATTCAAAAACGTCAATAACTTGTTTTTTTAAATAAATATTTGATCATTATTATTTTTCCGTAGGAATTAAAATTCTTCAAAACATTCAAATTTAAACCTTTTTGAAATTCAACAACTTATAAGAATATTATTACAAGACATGAAGAAGGCGATCACTTCGAGTCTTCGACTCGGAGTGATCCCCTTCTTCATGTTTTGTAATAATTTTAATTACCATAACATTTTTCAATAAATAAAATCCGTTGCAAGAATTAAATTATTTTCATAAATAATAAACCGATTATTCGGTAATTCATTTTTAAATCAAATTTTATTATAAAATTCTAGAAGAATTCAATTATTTAAAATTTCTTAAAAATAATTTATTGAATAATTGAATGTTTGTTAAAAATTAATTCTCATAAAGAATTTTATCAACAAATTTTTAAATAATTGAATTCTTTTGAAAAATTTTAATAACATTTTTAAGAATAAATACATTTTTCGAGGAAATTGATTAAAATTGTATAAAAAAAAATTAAAATCCTGTGATGACTTTTATTATTTATGAAAATATTAAAAATTTTCCAAAAAATTTTATTAAAACTTTTCTAACATAATTGAATTTCGGAGAAGAATTTTATTATTTATAAAAATAATTGAATTCTTTGAATAGAACTTTGTTAAATTTTTTTAAATAATTGAATTCTTGTTTCGAATTTTATAAAAATCTTTTTAAATAATTGACATTTTTCGAAAAATTTTATGAAATTTTGTATATTAAATAAATGAAGTCTGTGAAAATTTTATTATACTTATGAAAATAATTATTGAATTATTTCGAGGAATTGTATTAAAAATTTTGTAAATTTTTGAATTCCTGTGAAATTTTGTCTAGAATTTTATTAAATTTTTTTTAAAAGAATTGAATTATTTCGAAGAAATTTATTAAAAATTTTATAACTAATTGAATTCCTGTGAAATTTTGCCAAGAATTTTATTAAAATTTTCAAAAATAATCGAATTCTTAAAAAGAATTTTGTAAAATTCTTTTAACGAATTTTATTCAAAAGTTTATAAAAATAATTGAATTCTTGAAAAGAATTTTGTTAAATTTTTTTTAAATAATTGAATTCCTGTAAAAATTTTATTACTTATGAAAATAATTGAATTATTATTTATAAAGATAATTGAAATTTTGATGAGAATTTTACTATTTATAAAGATAATTGAAATGTTGACGATAATTTTATTATTTATAAAGATAATTGAAATTTTGACTAGATTTTTTTTTAATCTTTGAACATAATTGAAGTTCTGCGAAGAATTTTTATAACTTTTGAAAATAATTGAATTTCTGGAATCATTTGTAACTTTTCCAAAATTCAACTTTTTTTAGTATTTTTAACTAAAATTCTTCTTTCAATCTAGTATTTTTGAAAATTGTAAAAATTATTTATTAAATAATTTATACGTCATAATTTTATGACAGTTCTTGAAAAATTAAGTTATTTGAAAATAAATTATTGTAAGTTATAGAAAAAATTGAAGGTTTTGTATTAAAATTCGTGTTAATTTCATAGTTTACGAGGCAAACAAAAAAACCATAAAAATTCATCATTTTCTCATGAATTTTAAAAATTCAATTTTTTCCAGTACTTTTACTAAAAATCCCTGACTTTTCCCTGACCTGTGGCAACCTTGTAATTATAGAAATTGATGGACAGGTATTTTATTTAAATAAAATTCACGTCTTTCTTATTTACATAAAAATGAAAAATGAATTTGAAGTTTAAATACGCAATATATGTAATACTGTAAGCATTAAAAAAAGTATTCCAAATTGTAGAAGAAAAAATATCTTTTTTGTTATATAATTATTATTTCAGTTCGCGTGAAAAGCAAATAGTTCTCATTGTTAATCCAATATTAACCACTATTTCTTCTTTCACTAATTCTGAAGAACAATTCTGGAATGGCTTTCAAAACAAATTTATCATCCTCTGGTTTTCACTCCAAAGTTTTTTTTAAGAATGTTCGTTTATGAGTTGTTATTTGTTAAATCATAACTCAATAGACATTCAGGTTTTCAATTATGTTTCAGCCATGGATTTTTCCAATTTGTCGCAACGATACTTGACATTCCTTATATAATTAGGTAACTTTCCCTCATGATTTTTCTGCTGTTTACCATTCAATTTCGAAGGTATAAAATAAACATACTGTGCCTCCGATGGGAATAATTCTCTAATTTTCTGATCTATCAGTTCAAAATCATGTCTAGTAGGACTGCGTAAAAAATAAATATTAGTTTCAGATTATGACAATTATTAATATACATTAATGTTACGAATGCCAACATACTTTCTTTGCACTGCGAGAAGTTTATCCCCAACAATTTGCACTAATTTAGAGCGGCATTCTGCATTTAATAAATTATTTGTTTGATAATATCGTATAATACTTTTCCCTTTAGCTGAAGCATTCAAAATCTCTGTGATATTCTGAAAATGCAAATACAATTAGTTTCACTAAATTTTACTATATTCTCAAGAGGTAATAGTTTGAAAATTATTTGTATTACAATTTTTTCTACTTCCTGACTTCCAATCCATTTACAAACACGTTTTGTTTTTTGCTTTTCTTGTGAGTCGTCTTTTCGTTTGACAGAGTACTCTACACTAACTGATTGAATAATGTTGCTTCCAGATGGTAAATTATAGACGCTAGTAGTAGGAAAATTAGAAACGGCAATGTTTTCATCAGGAGTACTCTGAAAAGTCAATAAAGCCATGAAATCAACTTTTTCAGTATTGCACTGTTTGATGGTATTCAAATAATAGAATTTAATCATGTTCAGACTTCGCACTCGATAATTAATTTTAAAAAAGGAGCAAAAAGTAGCTTTCGAACTAAAAAGAAGTAGTAAAAAAGTAGCTATCGAAAAATTAAACTTGACGACCAAAAAAACTCGTTTTAGAAACTTCACAAAACTGGCAAAAAGTCCATTCTATATTTCATTTTCCTGACTTTTTCCTAATTTTCATCAAAAATATTTACTTCTTTCTTATCCTGCTAATAAATTGAATTCCTCCAAAGAATTTTACTATTCATGAAAGAATTTAAATATTTATAAAAATAATTTAATTCTTGCGAAGATTTTTATAAAATTCTTTAAATAATTGATTACTTTCGACTAATTTTATGCAAATTCTAATTTAAATAATTGAATTCCTGAACAATTTTTATTATTCATGAAAAGAATTGAATTCTTACGAAGATTTTTACAAAAAATTTGTTAAATAATTTAATTCTGTTTGGAAATTTTATAAAAATAGTAGATATTGAAAATCATTGAATTTCAAAATGTTTTTAAAAGTAATTAAATTTTACAAAGAATTCAATCAAAATTTTTGAGAATAATTGAATGTCTGTGTGGCATTTTATTAAATTTTTTTTGAAAATAATTGAATTTCTAAAAAGCATTTTATTAAATTTTTTTGAAAATAATTGAATTCTTGGGAACGATTTTATTAGAATTTTTAAAAATAATTGGATTTCCAAGAAGAAGTTTATTAATTTTAAAAATAATTGAATTCTTGTGATGAATATTGTCATTTATGAAAATAATTGAATTTTGTAAAGAATTTTATTAAAATGCCTCAAAATAATTTAAATCTCGGAAATAATTTTGTTATTTATCGACATAATTGAATTCAATCCAAGAATTATTTATGTAAATAATTGAATTCTTGGGAAGAATTTGATTAAATTCTAAAAGAATAATTGAATTATTTCAAAAAATTTAATTTAAAATAATTGATTTCTTTCGAAAAATTTTATTAAAATATTTTAAAAAAAATTGAATTCCTGTGAAAAATACTAATATTTTTGGAAATAATTGAATTTTTCAAAAGAATTTAAACAAAACATTTTTTTAAATAATTGATTTTTTCGAGAGAAATTGAAATTACATTTTTTTGATCAATTTTGCTAAGAATCAAAATTGCTAAGAATTTTATTAAAATTTTTAAAAATAATTGAATTCCTGAGAAGAATTTTATTATTATTTATGAATATAATTGAATTATTGCAAAAAATGTTATTAAAATGTTTAAAAAGAATTGAATTTCTTTGAGAAAAATTGTTATTTTTGAAAATAATTGAATTGTTCATAAGAATTTTATAAACATTGTTTTAAATAATTAATTTTTTGATGAGTTTTATTATTTATGTAAATAATTGAAATCTTGGAAAGAATTTTATTAAATTCTAAAAGAATAATTGAATTATTTAAAAAAAATTTAATTAAAATTTAATTTAAAATAATTGATTTCTTTCGAACAAATTTATTAAAATATTTGAAAATAATAATTGAATTCCTGTGAAAAATTCTAATATTTTTGAAAATAATTGAATTTTTCATAAGAAAAACATCGAAAAAAAACATCTATTTAAATAATTAATTTTTTTGAAATGTAATAAATATTATGAACATTTTATTTCAAATAATTGAATTTTTCGATTAATGAATTTAAAATATTATTAAAAATTATTGAAATTTTTTCATGAATTTTATTACTTATGAAAATAATTAAATTCTTGATTAAAATTTTATCAACAAATTTTTTAAAAAATTGAATTTCCATGAAAAATGTTATTATTAGTGAAAGTAATTGAATTATTGTGAAGAATTGTATACAAATTTTGTTAAATAATTGATATTTGCGAATTTTTTTTGAAAATGCTATTCTAAATTGATTTAATTCCTGTGGAAATATTATTATTTATGAAAATAATTGAATTTTGGATGAATTCCATCAATTTTTGTTCAAATAATTGAATTGTTTTGCGAAATTTTATGAAAATACTAGATATTGAAAATAATTGAATTTTGAACATTTTTGGAAAATAATTGAATCGTTTTAAATAATTTGATTATAATTTTTGAGAATAGTTTTTTGTTTTCCAGTATTAGCGAATTATAATTTTTCAATATGTTATTATCTTTATTTTCTACACCTATAGATTGTATGTACGCCCAAAAATGGTTCGGCAAGACCGCGGGTATACAAATGTACAGAAATAAATAAATAAAATAAATAAATAATAAATAACAGAAATAGTAGCTTCTAGTGGCTGAAATCTAAAAAAGTACCCAAATATTAGCACAACGTAAAAAAGGAGTAAATAGTAGGTTTTAGTAGATGAGTGTGAAGCCTGCATGTTTTTGATCATAATTATGGAAATCATTAAAATTCAAAGAAATATTGTTTAAAAGTTCCGACAATCGATAATGCCCCTCTAGTTTATCTTACATTTTAAAAGTTCAAAAATTTAACATTTCTAAAATATGAATTTGTAGAGAGTGACAATGGAAACCTTCTTTCGACAATAAAATGGTATTCGTTAATTTTATATTTTATATTTTACACCTTCGATAAAAATAAATATTGGGTGCATGCTTTTTAAAACTTTAATAATTTGTTTTTAAATAAGTGTTATTATTTCGAAATTTTTTCTGTTAGTTTGCAAGGCTAGAATAATAGAAAATAATCTGGACATAAGTTTTTTTAAAAACTTTTTTGAAACCCTTTTGTAAATTGTCGACAGTATGTTGAAGTATTAACCCTAGAACGGAAATACGATTTTTTATACACTTTATATAAAATGAATCACAGGTAGAGATCTTGAAGCAAAAATAACAGTAGTTAAGTCGTGAACATACTTTGAACTTCGCTTGGGGTGCCTAATCACCCCAGTTTTCCGTTCTAGGGTTAATATAGGTGGATTCCACGTCAGTTCAACACACTAATTTTCATGACTTGTTGGGATTTGGCTGTACTTTTGTAAATTTATTACTTTTGTAGTGATAAACAACTCCACCAAATATTTTTTCAAAATTTTGAAAATTACCAAAAATATGGCATTTTCAAAATTTTTGTCTTTTTTTTAAAGTGTTCTAATTAACCGATTTTGGGTTTAAAAAAAAGGATTTCTTTGGTTTTAAGTATATTTTAAGTTAAAATAAATATAAAAAAAAAAATTCAAAAAAAATTTTTTTTTTGAAATTTTGAAAAATTAAAAATCCGTTTTTGAAAAAACATCATCTTCGATTTTTTTCAAAATTTTACTAAATGTTAGGGCAAATGTGCTTTACATGTCCTGTAAGTTTTATCTTGGTATCTCAAAGGGATTCGGAGTAAAAAAATAAAACGTAACCACAAATTACGAACATATGGGGCAAAATTCCTCAACTGCCCAGGTAAAAAAATGAATTTTCTCTAAACTTTGCTAAAATGTTACTATTATTAGTAGAAGTGTAAATATTAATTTTTTTTGAATTTGATAAAATATTTTTTGACTTATGGAGTTTCAAAATTTTGATTTTTTTGAAAATATCTTTTTTTCGATTTAATATATTGATAAGTAAAATTAATGAAATTTAAAGTATGAATAGTGATTTTTAACGGGGTTTTCACGGGCTATAAGCTGGTGATGAAAAAAAAGTTGTTTTCTGTCAATTTGACCTTGAAATTCAAGGTCAAATTCTTAATTTCAATATACACTCGATTCTTGTTATAACGAATATTAAAACTCTCGATACAACGACAAAAAAAACACGAACGAATTTAAGAATTTAATTTAACCAAAATTTTGGTTAACTCAAAAAAACGACAAAATTAATCAACCCTTAACTTTATTTAACCTAAAGAATCTAGTGATCCGATTATTATCAAAACTACTTACTTTTTCTTTAAACTGATTCCATAATTCAGAACTTTTAATATAAATAAACATACTTTACGAAAAATTTTGCACGTATTTGACGTTTTGTACTGTTAATCACGGATAAATTCATGCGTTTGAATAGAACGTGAAGTAGGATCCTCTCCTTCCGTCGTAATATCGAGATTTTGAAGTCCCGAGTTCGTCGTTATAACGAGAATCGAGTGTACAGTAGAACTCGGTTAATACGATCCCATTTAATACGATTTCCCGCTTAAGACGCTCATTTATGGTGGTCCCTGCAATTAAAGACATACATTTTATATCCCATCTAATACGTTTTCCCGCATAAGACGCATTCTTAGTGCGGTCCCTACAGAATCGTATTAACCAAGTTCTACTGTGTCTCAAAATCGGTGTTTTTTATTTTTTTCTAACCTATCCCAATCGAAAGCTTACCTTTTTTCCTATGAGCCATGTAAAAATCAGAATGGGACCATGGAATTTTTTTAAAGAAATTAATTATGAATCATCATTTTCTATGTAAAATAATGATAAATTATTATTTTCCTCAAAAATTCGCATGGTCCCACTCTGATTTTTACATGGCTCATAGAAAAAAGGTCACCAGCTTATAGCCCGTGAAAACCCCTTTAAAAATCACTATTCATACTTTAAATTTCATTAATTTTACTTATAAATATATTAAATCGAAAAAAAGATATTTTCAAAAAAATCAAAATTTTGAAACTCCATAACTCAAAAAATATTTTATCAAATTCAAAAAAAATTAATATTTACACTTCTACTAATAATAGTAACATTTTAGCAAAGTTTAGAGAAAATTCATTTTTTTACCTGGGCAGTTGAGGAATTTTGCCCCATATGTTCGTAATTTGTGGTTACGTTTTATTTTTTTACTCCGAATCCCTTTGAGATAGAATTACGATCTGAAATTAGTTAGAACAATAAAGAAATTAATTTCCATTCACAAAAATTAAATATTAATGGTATTTCTTTTAGCTTTTTCAGCCTAAAAACAAA